GGCCCTCAGGAGGTCGGAAGAAAACTCCCCACCTCTGTCTGAGTGCAGACGCAGAACAGGAAGGTCTGAACCGAAACTCTTACTGAGCTGGCGACGAGCACCGCGGATCCAGTCGATCAACACCTCAGGGACCTCACCCTTGCTGCGCAAGGGGAAGACTGTGGTGTAACGCGAGTAGTCGTCAACGACCAGCAGGAAGTAACGCTCGTGACCCTGTCCACGGACGCGGGCTGGGCCCCACATGTCCATGTGAAGAGTCTGCAGAGGAGCCTCAGTCGGAGGGAACGAGGAGGAGTGAGGAGCGGCGCGCTGCCGGCCCTCGACATAAGGAACATAGGTGGGGGCAGGCCCCGGAGGAAGGGGAGGGAGGGACCGGGGTAGACCCGAGACAAGGGCACGCGAGGCCATACCTCGAAGACGAGGCAGGGAGGGGTGGCCAAGGCGGTGGTGCCAAAGGAGAGTCTCGTGCGACAGAGGACGACACGAGCAGGGGGCAGACGCAGGACTAGACCTGGACGCGGCAGCAAACACCTCACTAGACGCAGCTACCTGACCAGACGCAGAGACCGGAGGAGGCGCAGTAGTCAGTGTGTACAGGCTCGACCCTGGCCGACGGGTGAACGTGGCCAGGTGGCGGCTCGTCCGAGAGCAAGTGCAGTGGGTCACACGCTGACCTCCAGGGGTGAACTGGTCAACCCATGCGTCCTGGAGGTCAGCTCCACTCACCAAGTTCGTAGAGAACGAGGGGAGGTGGAGTCCCGACAGCAAGCCCGACGGGGCCGCAGGACACGGTAGAACCGTGGAGGAGTGTGCAAGGACTGGGCCCCCTGAGGGGTCAGCAAGGGAGACCGCAACAGGCCGACTGAGCGGCGTGAGCGTGGTGCTCTCTAAAGAAAGAGCGCGAAGCACCAGAGTCAAGTGTGAAAGTGTGCAAGGACTCAGTAGGTGCAGTACCAGAGAGAGCAAACGCACCAGCACCTGGAGCAGCAGACGCACTAGCACCTAGAGCAGCGGCCGCAATGCCCGGGTCGGGCAAGACACTCAGGTAACAGTCACCCTCAGCACTATCAGCAATAGCATATATGGCAGCAAGGATAGCATCAAAATCAAGATCAAAGATAGGCACATTCTGCAGAAGCAGATCATGCCAGCGAGGGAGCTCAACGGCGTCAGGAAACTGGGCACGCCAAGCGTCCATCAAGCGATCGAAGCAGCGCTGCGTAGTGTGTGGGAGCCCACACACCTCCCCACTACGAGTGCCGGTGCGAAGAACGTAAGTGTAGGGACCTGCACCCCCAGACCTCCCACGCCCAGCGTACCACTCACGAAGCTGCTGGACCAACGGGGTCTCACGGGAGCGCAGCTGCTGCTGGCGCTGGCTGCCACCAAAGCCTCCACGCTGCGCGGCTGCACCTCGACCAGCACCACCGCCACCGCCACCTCCACCACCGCCGCCGCTGCCTCCACCACCTCCGCCACCGCCGCCACTACCTCCGCCTCCTCCACCTCCTCCACTGCTTCCCTCGCCGCCCCCTCCACCACCCTTTCTCCCCTTGCCCTTGCTGTTGCGGCGTCTCCCACTAGGGGCAGACGCAGCTCCGACCTCCTCAGTGCCAACGAGGTCGACAGCAGCAGCATAAGCAACAAAGGGGAGAAGGGGGACAGGGGAACACCCCTCAAAGAAAGGGGTGCGACGGTCGCCGCGAGAAGCACCTACAGCTAAGATACTCTTCTCAGCTGCAGCAAGGCGCTCCTCTAGCAGGTCGACAGTCAGCTCGGTGGGGCAAAGTGAGAGAAAGTGGTCCCTGACTGAAGAAAGGGAGTCAGGGAGGCGGGTGACTAGGTAGTAAAGGGTGATGTACATGGGGGGGGGGGTCTTGGCACAGAACTCAGTGGGAAGGGCAGCGCGGTAGCGGGCGTCACTAGTGCGAAGGTGAGCAACTAGGTCAGCGACTGTGGCAAAGGCAGCAAGGTCAGGGAAAAGGTACGGCAGCATGAGGCGGCTGAGGGCAGCAGTGGCAGGGGAGGAGTAGCGCGCAACTACAGCGTCGTACAAAGACTGAGCAGTCTTATACTGGCCAAAATGTGCGCGCTCAGCAGGCGGCAGGTGACTACAAACAGCAAGACGAGCAACAGCGTCACGAGTGGTCCACTGCGAGCGAACCGTACTGTCAGTAGTGGCATCAGGAGCAGTAGAAACACCGGACGTGTGATCGAAAAGGGATACCCCATCCCTAGAATCACACTGAAGAAAGAGCTGTAGGTCGTCAACCCATACGTCAAAGTCAACTGCACGTCCCTCAGCGTCAAAGGTGAGAACGGTAGGACTAGCCATAGCAGCAGTAGGAGCAGTAGCAAGAGTAGCAGCAGTAGAAGCAGCGGCAGTAAGGCAGTGCAAGGCAGTGCGGCTCGGTAGGGCAGTGCGGTTCAGTAGGGCAGTGCGGCTCGGTGGGGCGGCGCGGCTCGGCTGAGCGGCGCGGCTCGGCTGGGCGGCGCGGCTCGGCTGGGCGGCGCGGCTCGGCTGGGCGGCACGGCTCGGCTTACCAGAGACAGGTGCAGGGGCGGGCCGTGAATGCAGGGGCCACGCCTGCAGGGGCCGGCAGGGGCGCGTCAGCAAGGGCCGGCAGGGGCGCGCCAGTAGGGGCGCGTCAGCAGGGGCTGGCAGAGGCGCGTCAGCAGCGGCCGGCAGGGGCGCGTCAGCAAGGGCCGGCAGGGGCGCGCCAGAAGGGGCGCGTCAGCAGGGGCCGGCAGAGGCGCGTCAGCAGGGGCCGGCAGGGGCGCGCCAGCAGGGGCCGGCAGGGACTCGCCAGCAGGGGCTGGAAGGGGCGCGCCAGTAGGGGCGCGTCAGCAGGGGCACGGAAGGGGCGCGCCAGTAGGGGCCGGCAGGGGCTACGGCAGTTGCTGAAGGGGCCGCGAATGGCCGTAAGAGGGGCCGCGAAGGGCTGCGAAGGGGGGGCCGCAAGGGCCGCGAAGGGCCGCGAAGGGGCCGCAAGGGGCCGCGAAGGGCCGCGAAGGGCCGCAAAGGGCCGCAAAGGGGCCGCGAAGGGCCGCAAAGGGGGGGGCGTGAAGGGCCGCAACGGGCCGCGAAGGGCCTGTTAAGGGGCCTCGAAGGGCCGCAAAGGGGGCCGTGAGGAGCGCGACGAGGAGGGCCCTAAGGGCGGGCCGCTAAGGGCAGAGCGCGCGGGGCGCAGATAAGACAAGCGCGAAGCGCGCTTTGGGGAGGTAAGGAAAAAAAATGTGCAGTGGTGGGCCCTTAAAAAAAAAACGATCCCACTAGGGAACCCGCTCTATACCATGTGAGAATAATGAGAGGAATGAAATGAACTAGGCAGCAGGTGGGTACAAATATGAAAACCTAAAAAGTGTTGTACCCTGTATTGACTACCCCACTACAGCCTAAAAAGACTATAGCAGATATGTTTGACAAAGCTATCTCGCACAATTTTTACGCTGCTCAAAAGAAGAACACCATCTCGATCTTCAGCGCGCTCTACACTATTTTGTTGCAACACCAACAGTCGGGCTGATTTTCAACACAGGAAAACCGACCGACCAAATGTACCTCAGTGGATATGTTGACGCAGACCACGCTGGTGACACGTCAGATCGTCGGTCACGAACAGGCTACATTTTTCGTCTCGAGCCAATTGGTCCGATCTCGTGGAACTCATCGAAACAGGAACTCGTGTCACTTTCCTCAGCTGAAGCAGAATTCATTGCCACGTGTGTTGCAACTCGAGAAGGACTATACTTACAGGAACTGCTCGACGAAGCAAAGTTCGTCACACCGAATCAGTTCACGTTGCAGTGCGACAACCAGAGTGCGATTACCATCGCCAACAAACCCGGCTTCGTCAATCGCACGAAACACATTTCACTGCGTTACTTCTTCGTCAAAGATGCGATCGACAAAGAGAGGATGCGCCTTGTCTACTGTCCCACTGGTGACATGGCAGCTGATTCGCTTACCAAGAAACTGACACGACAGAAGTTTCACCATTGCAACCAGCTCAGCGGCATTACTGAGACAACCGGGTAACTACACCGGACTCCTGGAAGTGAAGGGGAGTGTTGAGATAATATGAAGACTTAAGCACTTCAAGGATTCGTGTAGTACAGTGCGAGACTTCGCACGAAACAGTAAAGTACCGATAGGCTGACGACAGCAAAGCGCTACGCGCCCTAGGATGACGTCAGCACGTAGCTTTAGACCTCGCGAAAAGTTACGTACCGTTTCAGAACAAGAATAGCACAGTACAGTAGGCAAACAGGTACTTTACTCTAGCTATATATTTTGTATGTTTGTCATTTTATAATATATCTGATTTCAGAGACATTGATCCTGAAACATATCACTACATGGGCTTTTATCAAGTCCAGACAAAGCCTTCATAACTGGCTTTAACTCATTTAAGACTTCCGCTACGACAGGAAGCTACCATCCTAAGTAGTACGATCCTATTCAATCATTTCAAATTCTAACAGTACGAGCCCGACTGGGAGGAGGTGGTGAAGATCTGGAGGGCGTACAAGAAGCGCAAGCCCTTCACAACAGTGGCAGCAGCAAAGAAGCAATCAAGTGCTAAGGGGAAAGAGAAGGTGGAGGAGGATGGTGCTGGCTTTGTGTGGGGGACAGAGACCCCCACCCAGATGTCTAAGAGCGATGCTGGTAGTGACGATGATGACATGTGAGGTGATGTGTGTGACGTGTGTGTACAATGGTCTATGCAGGCAGTACATTGAAGTTCACTTGAACAGTACCGTATTACAGGTTTTTATAAGTTATTCTATTTGTGAGAACAGATCAGTGTTTTTTGAAAATGCACCCTGTTTGATCAGTGTTCTTTTTTTACCAACCCTGAGAAATCAGTGTTTATCCACAGGCAACCCTGATGATCAGTGTTACATCTCCAAGGGACCCTGAGTGCTCAGAGTCCCCCAAAACGAATCTGAGGCCCTGGGTCCCAGCCACTGACAGAAGTTCTGAGTCAACTCAACACTCATCTTCTCTGGTGCTGAAAGTTATGCAAGCGCCGGCCGACCAAGTATCTATCGTCCCGAATCGCATCATGCAGCGACGCAAACCACTCACACACCCGCCGCCACACCCTCGCCGTCCCCACCACCCCCAACGCAGTAATCCACGCGAACCGGAACGCCGCTGATTCGAGCACAGGGGGGAGGCGGAGCAAGGGGAGTGCTGCGCGGACAGCTAGGAAGGGAGCAGTGAGGGCTGTGAGGAGGAAGAGGAGGACTGGAGCGATAATTTCCTGGAAGGTGCGGCGGGCGTCGAGGCGGCGGAGGCCGTCTTGTTGCAGGCGGAGAAAACGGGCTCGCCACTCTTGGTTGGCTAGCAAGTGGTTCTGTGCGGTGACCTGCGGTGCAAGAGGGGGGGAGGGGGAGGGAGGAGAAGAGTAAGAGGGTGCAAGTGGAGGAACCAGGCGCGCCACTCTTGGTTGGCTAGGAAGTGGTTCTGTGCGGTGACCTACGGTGCAAGGGAAGAGGAGGGGAGGGGTGCAAGGGAAGAGGGGGAGTTGGGGGGGGGGTGAAAGGAGGGTGGAGGAAGGGCTTAAGTCTTTGCAGGTGGAGGAACGGGAGCGCCACTCGTGGTTGGCGAGTAAGTGGTTCTGTGCGGTGACCTGCGGTACAAGCGAATCAGGATGAGACCGAGAGCCCAGCCGTGGTAGAGCGATTACAGAGGGGAATCGATGGTCACAGGATGGACTAGTGTGCACCACTTCCCACTTTCTCGACGGAAGAGAGAAAAGGAGAGCAAATGGGCATCAGCAGAGAGAGGGAGAGGGAGAGGCTCACCACTCTGGCCCAGAGCTTGAGAAGAATGAGGCCGAGAGCCCAGTCGTGGTAGAGAGAGAGAAGTGGGGACTCATTGATGGGCACTCGGATGGGCATGATGACAGCCAGATCGACCAGCAAGCCTGCTAGGATGGGGGCCACCACCAACTGAAGGGGGGGGGAGGGATGGGTGCAGCAGGAGGCATGCAAAGAGAGGGAGAGAGAAGCAGAGGAAAGAGAGCAGCGGGGACTCATTGATGGGCACTCGGATGGGCATGATGAGTGCCAGATCGACCAGCAGACCTGCCAGAATGGGGGCAACCACCAACTGAATGGGGGGGGATGGGAGCGGAGTGCATGTAGCGACAGGAGAGATAGCAGCAGAGAGGGGAGGGAGGAGAGGGGACTCGTTGATGGGCATGATCACTGCCCAGATCGATGAGCAGACCTGCTAGGATAGGCGCCACTAACAGCTGTGGGCGGGGGGAAACGAAAGGGGAGAGTGGAAAGCCAAAGAGAAGGGAAGGGGAGGGGAGGGCATACGGATGGGCATCATGACTGCCAGATCGACAGACATGATGGCATGGGCATGATGGCATGGGCATGATGGCATGGGCATGATGGCATGGGCATGATGGGATGGGCATGATGGGATGGGCATGATGGGATGGGCATGATGGCATGGGCATGATGGCATGGGCATGATGGGATGGGCATGATGGCATGGGCATGATGGCATGGGCATGATGGGATGGGCATGATGGGATGGGCATGATGGCATGGGCATGATGGCATGGGCATGATGGGATGGGCATGATGGGATGGGCATGATGGCATGGGCATGATGGCATGGGCATGATGGGATGGGCATGATGGCATGGGCATGATGGCATGGGCATGATGGGATGGGCATGATGGGATGGGCATGATGGCATGGGCATGATGGCATGGGCATGATGGGATGGGCATGATGGGATGGGCATGATGGCATGGGCATGATGGCATGGGCATGATGGCATGGCATGATGGGATGGGCATGATGGCATGGGCATGATGGCATGGGCATGATGGGATGGGCATGATGGGATGGGCATGATGGCATGGGCATGATGGCATGGGCATGATGGGATGGGCATGATGGGATGGGCATGATGGCATGGGCATGATGGCATGGGCATGATGGGATGGGCATGATGGGATGGGCATGATGGGATGGGCATGATGGCATGGGCATGATGGCATGGGCATGATGGCATGGGCATGATGGGATGGGCATGATGGGATGGGCATGATGGCATGGGCATGATGGCATGGGCATGATGGCATGGGCATGATGGGATGGGCATGATGGGATGGGCATGATGGGATGGGCATGATGGCATGGGCATGATGGCATGGGCATGATGGGATGGGCATGATGGGATGGGCATGATGGGATGGGCATGATGGGATGGGCATGATGGAATGGGCATGATGGCATGGGCATGATGGCATGGGCATGATGGGATGGGCATGATGGGATGGGCATGATGGCATGGGCATGATGGCATGGGCATGATGGGATGGGCATGATGGCATGGGCATGATGGCATGGGCATGATGGGATGGGCATGATGGATGGCATGATGGATGGGCATGATGGGATGGGCATGATGGCATGGGCATGATGGCATGGGCATGATGGGATGGGCATGATGGCATGGGCATGATGGGATGGGCATGATGGGATGGGCATGATGGGATGGGCATGATGGCATGGGCATGATGGCATGGGCATGATGGGATGGGCATGATGGGATGGGCATGATGGCATGGGCATGATGGCATGGGCATGATGGGATGGGCATGATGGGATGGGCATGATGGGATGGGCATGATGGCATGGGCATGATGGCATGGGCATGATGGCATGGGCATGATGGGATGGGCATGATGGCATGGGCATGATGGCATGGGCATGATGGCATGGGCATGATGGGATGGGCATGATGGGATGGGCATGATGGGATGGGCATGATGGCATGGGCATGATGGCATGGGCATGATGGGATGGGCATGATGGCATGGGCATGATGGCATGGGCATGATGGGATGGGCATGATGGGATGGGCATGATGGCATGGGCATGATGGCATGGGCATGATGGGATGGGCATGATGGGATGGGCATGATGGCATGGGCATGATGGCATGGGCATGATGGGATGGGCATGATGGGATGGGCATGATGGCATGGGCATGATGGCATGGGCATGATGGGATGGGCATGATGGGATGGGCATGATGGGATGGGCATGATGGCATGGGCATGATGGCATGGGCATGATGGCATGGGCATGATGGGATGGGCATGATGGGATGGGCATGATGGCATGGGCATGATGGCATGGGCATGATGGCATGGGCATGATGGGATGGGCATGATGGGATGGGCATGATGGCATGGGCATGATGGCATGGGCATGATGGGATGGGCATGATGGCATGGGCATGATGGCATGGGCATGATGGCATGATGGGATGGGCATGATGGGATGGGCATGATGGATGGGCATGATGGCATGGGCATGATGGATGGCATGATGGCATGGCATGATGGCATGGGCATGATGGGATGGGCATGATGGGATGGGCATGATGGCATGGGCATGATGGCATGGGCATGATGGCATGGGCATGATGGGATGGGCATGATGGGATGGGCATGATGGGATGGGCATGATGGCATGGGCATGATGGCATGGGCATGATGGCATGGGCATGATGGGATGGGCATGATGGGATGGGCATGATGGGCATGGGCATGATGGCATGGGCATGATGGGATGGGCATGATGGCATGGGCATGATGGCATGGGCATGATGGGATGGGCATGATGGGATGGGCATGATGGGATGGGCATGATGGCATGGGCATGATGGCATGGGCATGATGGGATGGGCATGATGGCATGGGCATGATGGCATGGGCATGATGGGATGGGCATGATGGGATGGGCATGATGGCATGGGCATGATGGCATGGGCATGATGGATGGGCATGATGGGATGGGCATGATGGCATGGGCATGATGGCATGGGCATGATGGATGGGCATGATGGGATGGGCATGATGGCATGGGCATGATGGCATGGGCATGATGGGATGGGCATGATGGGATGGGCATGATGGCATGGGCATGATGGCATGGGCATGATGGGATGGGCATGATGGGATGGGCATGATGGCATGGGCATGATGGCATGGGCATGATGGCATGGGCATGATGGGATGGGCATGATGGGATGGGCATGATGGCATGGGCATGATGGCATGGGCATGATGGCATGGGCATGATGGGATGGGCATGATGGGATGGGCATGATGGCATGGGCATGATGGCATGGGCATGATGGCATGGGCATGATGGGATGGGCATGATGGGATGGGCATGATGGGATGGGCATGATGGCATGGGCATGATGGCATGGGCATGATGGGATGGGCATGATGGGATGGGCATGATGGGATGGGCATGATGGGATGGGCATGATGGCATGGGCATGATGGCATGGGCATGATGGCATGGGCATGATGGGATGGGCATGATGGGATGGGCATGATGGCATGGGCATGATGGCATGGGCATGATGGGATGGGCATGATGGCATGGGCATGATGGCATGGGCATGATGGGATGGGCATGATGGGATGGGCATGATGGGATGGGCATGATGGCATGGGCATGATGGCATGGGCATGATGGGATGGGCATGATGGCATGGGCATGATGGCATGGGCATGATGGGATGGGCATGATGGGATGGGCATGATGGCATGGGCATGATGGCATGGGCATGATGGGATGGGCATGATGGGATGGGCATGATGGCATGGGCATGATGGCATGGGCATGATGGGATGGGCATGATGGGATGGGCATGATGGCATGGGCATGATGGCATGGGCATGATGGCATGGGCATGATGGCATGGGCATGATGGGATGGGCATGATGGCATGGGCATGATGGCATGGGCATGATGGCATGGGCATGATGGGATGGGCATGATGGGATGGGCATGATGGGATGGGCATGATGGCATGGGCATGATGGCATGGGCATGATGGGATGGGCATGATGGCATGGGCATGATGGCATGGGCATGATGGGATGGGCATGATGGGATGGGCATGATGGCATGGGCATGATGGCATGGGCATGATGGGATGGGCATGATGGGATGGGCATGATGGCATGGGCATGATGGCATGGGCATGATGGGATGGGCATGATGGCATGGGCATGATGGCATGGGCATGATGGGATGGGCATGATGGGATGGGCATGATGGCATGGGCATGATGGCATGGGCATGATGGGATGGGCATGATGGGATGGGCATGATGGCATGGGCATGATGGCATGGGCATGATGGCATGGGCATGATGGCATGGGCATGATGGGATGGGCATGATGGGATGGGCATGATGGGATGGGCATGATGGCATGGGCATGATGGCATGGGCATGATGGCATGGGCATGATGGCATGGGCATGATGGATGGCATGATGGGATGGGCATGATGGGATGGGCATGATGGGATGGGCATGATGGCATGGGCATGATGGCATGGGCATGATGGCATGGGCATGATGGGATGGGCATGATGGGATGGGCATGATGGGATGGGCATGATGGGATGGGCATGATGGCATGGGCATGATGGCATGGGCATGATGGCATGGGCATGATGGGATGGGCATGATGGGATGGGCATGATGGGATGGGCATGATGGCATGGGCATGATGGCATGGGCATGATGGCATGGGCATGATGGGATGGGCATGATGGGATGGGCATGATGGGATGGGCATGATGGGATGGGCATGATGGGATGGGCATGATGGCATGGGCATGATGGCATGGGCATGATGGCATGGGCATGATGGCATGGGCATGATGGGATGGGCATGATGGGATGGGCATGATGGGATGGGCATGATGGGATGGGCATGATGGCATGGGCATGATGGCATGGGCATGATGGCATGGGCATGATGGCATGGGCATGATGGGATGGGCATGATGGGATGGGCATGATGGGATGGGCATGATGGGATGGGCATGATGGCATGGGCATGATGGCATGGGCATGATGGCATGGGCATGATGGCATGGGCATGATGGGATGGGCATGATGGGATGGGCATGATGGGATGGGCATGATGGCATGGGCATGATGGCATGGGCATGATGGGATGGGTATGATGGGATGGGCATGATGGCATGGGCATGATGGCATGGGCATGATGGCATGGGCATGATGGCATGGGCATGATGGGATGGGCATGATGGGATGGGCATGATGGGATGGGCATGATGGGATGGGCATGATGGCATGGGCATGATGGCATGGGCATGATGGCATGGGCATGATGGCATGGGCATGATGGGATGGGCATGATGGGATGGGCATGATGGGATGGGCATGATGGGATGGGCATGATGGCATGGGCATGATGGCATGGGCATGATGGCATGGGCATGATGGGATGGGCATGATGGGATGGGCATGATGGGATGGGCATGATGGCATGGGCATGATGGCATGGGCATGATGGCATGGGCATGATGGCATGGGCATGATGGGATGGGCATGATGGGATGGGCATGATGGGATGGGCATGATGGCATGGGCATGATGGCATGGGCATGATGGCATGGGCATGATGGGATGGGCATGATGGGATGGGCATGATGGGATGGGCATGATGGGATGGGCATGATGGCATGGGCATGATGGCATGGGCATGATGGCATGGGCATGATGGGATGGGCATGATGGGATGGGCATGATGGGATGGGCATGATGGGATGGGCATGATGGCATGGGCATGATGGCATGGGCATGATGGCATGGGCATGATGGGATGGGCATGATGGGATGGGCATGATGGGATGGGCATGATGGGATGGGCATGATGGCATGGGCATGATGGGATGGGCATGATGGATGGGCATGATGGGATGGGCATGATGGCATGGGCATGATGGCATGGGCATGATGGCATGGGCATGATGGGATGGGCATGATGGCATGGGCATGATGGCATGGGCATGATGGCATGGGCATGATGGCATGGGCATGATGGGATGGGCATGATGGGATGGGCATGATGGGATGGGCATGATGGGATGGGCATGATGGCATGGGCATGATGGCATGGGCATGATGGCATGGGCATGATGGGATGGGCATGATGGGATGGGCATGATGGGATGGGCATGATGGGATGGGCATGATGGCATGGGCATGATGGCATGGGCATGATGGCATGGGCATGATGGGATGGGCATGATGGGATGGGCATGATGGGATGGGCATGATGGGATGGGCATGATGGCATGGGCATGATGGCATGGGCATGATGGCATGGGCATGATGGGATGGGCATGATGGGATGGGCATGATGGGATGGGCATGATGGGATGGGCATGATGGCATGGGCATGATGGGATGGGCATGATGGGATGGGCATGATGGCATGGGCATGATGGCATGGGCATGATGGCATGGGCATGATGGCATGGGCATGATGGGATGGGCATGATGGGATGGGCATGATGGGATGGGCATGATGGGATGGGCATGATGGCATGGGCATGATGGCATGGGCATGATGGCATGGGCATGATGGGATGGGCATGATGGGATGGGCATGATGGGATGGGCATGATGGGATGGGCATGATGGCATGGGCATGATGGCATGGGCATGATGGCATGGGCATGATGGGATGGGCATGATGGGATGGGCATGATGGGATGGGCATGATGGGATGGGCATGATGGCATGGGCATGATGGGATGGGCATGATGGGATGGGCATGATGGGATGGGCATGATGGGATGGGCATGATGGCATGGGCATGATGGCATGGGCATGATGGCATGGGCATGATGGGATGGGCATGATGGCATGGGCATGATGGCATGGGCATGATGGCATGGGCATGATGGCATGGGCATGATGGGATGGGCATGATGGGATGGGCATGATGGGATGGGCATGATGGCATGGGCATGATGGCATGGGCATGATGGCATGGGCATGATGGGATGGGCATGATGGGATGGGCATGATGGGATGGGCATGATGGCATGGGCATGATGGCATGGGCATGATGGCATGGGCATGATGGGATGGGCATGATGGGATGGGCATGATGGGATGGGCATGATGGGATGGGCATGATGGCATGGGCATGATGGCATGGGCATGATGGCATGGGCATGATGGGATGGGCATGATGGGATGGGCATGATGGGATGGGCATGATGGGATGGGCATGATGGCATGGGCATGATGGCATGGGCATGATGGCATGGGCATGATGGGATGGGCATGATGGGATGGGCATGATGGGATGGGCATGATGGGATGGGCATGATGGCATGGGCATGATGGGATGGGCATGATGGGATGGGCATGATGGGATGGGCATGATGGGATGGGCATGATGGCATGGGCATGATGGCATGGGCATGATGGCATGGGCATATGATGGATGATGGATGGGCATGATGGCATGGGCATGATGGCATGGGCATGATGGCATGGGCATGATGGCATGGGCATGATGGGATGGGCATGATGGGATGGGCATGATGGGATGGGCATGATGGGATGGGCATGATGGCATGGGCATGATGGCATGGGCATGATGGCATGGGCATGATGGGATGGGCATGATGGGATGGGCATGATGGGATGGGCATGATGGGATGGGCATGATGGCATGGGCATGATGGCATGGGCATGATGGCATGGGCATGATGGGATGGGCATGATGGGATGGGCATGATGGGATGGGCATGATGGGATGGGCATGATGGCATGGGCATGATGGGATGGGCATGATGGGATGGGCATGATGGGATGGGCATGATGGGATGGGCATGATGGGATGGGCATGATGGGATGGGCATGATGGGATGGGCATGATGGGATGGGCATGATGGCATGGGCATGATGGGATGGGCATGATGGGATGGGCATGATGGGATGGGCATGATGGGATGGGCATGATGGATGGGCATGATGGCATGGGCATGATGGCATGGGCATGATGGCATGGGCATGATGGCATGGGCATGATGGGATGGGCATGATGGGATGGGCATGATGGGATGGGCATGATGGCATGGGCATGATGGCATGGGCATGATGGCATGGGCATGATGGCATGGGCATGATGGGATGGGCATGATGGGATGGGCATGATGGGATGGGCATGATGGGATGGGCATGATGGCATGGGCATGATGGCATGGGCATGATGGCATGGGCATGATGGGATGGGCATGATGGGATGGGCATGATGGGATGGGCATGATGGGATGGGCATGATGGCATGGGCATGATGGCATGGGCATGATGGCATGGGCATGATGGGATGGGCATGATGGGATGGGCATGATGGGATGGGCATGATGGCATGGGCATGATGGCATGGGCATGATGGCATGGGCATGATGGATGGGCATGATGGGATGGGCATGATGGGATGGGCATGATGGGATGGGCATGATGGGATGGGCATGATGGGATGGGCATGATGGCATGGGCATGATGGCATGGGCATGATGGCATGGGCATGATGGCATGGGCATGATGGGATGGGCATGATGGGATGGGCATGATGGGATGGGCATGATGGCATGGGCATGATGGCATGGGCATGATGGCATGGGCATGATGGCATGGGCATGATGGGATGGGCATGATGGGATGGGCATGATGGGATGGGCATGATGGCATGGGCATGATGGCATGGGCATGATGGCATGGGCATGATGGCATGGGCATGATGGGATGGGCATGATGGGATGGGCATGATGGGATGGGCATGATGGCATGGGCATGATGGCATGGGCATGATGGGATGGGCATGATGGGATGGGCATGATGGGCATGGGCATGATGGCATGGGCATGATGGCATGGGCATGATGGCATGGGCATGATGGCATGGGCATGATGGGATGGGCATGATGGGATGGGCATGATGGGATGGGCATGATGGCATGGGCATGATGGCATGGGCATGATGGCATGGGCATGATGGCATGGGCATGATGGGATGGGCATGATGGGATGGGCATGATGGGATGGGCATGATGGGATGGGCATGATGGCATGGGCATGATGGCATGGGCATGATGGGATGGGCATGATGGGATGGGCATGATGGGATGGGCATGATGGGATGGGCATGATGGGATGGGCATGATGGCATGGGCATGATGGCATGGGCATGATGGCATGGGCATGATGGCATGGGCATGATGGGATGGGCATGATGGGATGGGCATGATGGGATGGGCATGATGGCATGGGCATGATGGCATGGGCATGATGGCATGGGCATGATGGGATGGGCATGATGGGATGGGCATGATGGGATGGGCATGATGGGATGGGCATGATGGCATGGGCATGATGGCATGGGCATGATGGCATGGCATGATGGGATGGGCATGATGGGATGGGCATGATGGGATGGGCATGATGGGATGGGCATGATGGCATGGGCATGATGGCATGGGCATGATGGCATGGGCATGATGGGATGGGCATGATGGGATGGGCATGATGGGATGGGCATGATGGGATGGGCATGATGGCATGGGCATGATGGGATGGGCATGATGGGATGGGCATGATGGGATGGGCATGATGGCATGGGCATGATGGCATGGGCATGATGGCATGGGCATGATGGGCACCTATAAGGGAGATTCACAGGACAGCACTCACCCACAGCAGCAGCAGCACCACCGCTTTAAGGGCCACAGCAGCCCAGTGCACGAGAGGCAGCAGCAGCGCCCGCATGTTGTTACGCGGTAACCGCAAGACAGCTGCTTGCATGGCGGCTATGGATCCCCAGATGAGGTAGGCTCCGATGCCAAAGGAATAGAGATCTGGATGGGTTGAAAGGGGTGTGAGAGAGTGAAGTGGGGTAAGGGGATGAGTGAGTGGTGGTAAGTGCAGCACAGCAGCTTTGGATCCCCAGATGAGGTAAGCCCCGATGCCAAAGGAATGAAATCTGGATGGGTGGAGAGGGGTACAAGAAAGTAATATGGGTAGGACTTACTAGTGTGTCCGGTATGCCTTACCATTGCAAGGAGGGTCGTCAGCAGCGCTGGGCAGCAGGGGAGCAGAGAGAGAGGTGGAACGCCCCTCGCCCCACACCCGTGGGCAGCAGCACCACCACTGCCGTGCTGAACGCTGCTAGTGACGGCAAGGTGTGCGACAATGAAATGAATACACAAGAAGCGACTCACCACTTCTGTACTGAGGGCCACTGAACTGATGTGCTGCCTACAGCCAGAGACCAGCGTGCTACGGAGGCTGGATGGAAAACACGCCTTACCAGTGCAGCGGTGCCTTACCGTTGCAAGGAGTGTCATCAGCAGCAGCACTGGGGAGCAGCGAGGCAGAGAGGCGAAAGACCCCTCGCCCCACAGCGGTGGGCAGCAACACCACCGCCGTGTTGAACGCTGCTAGAGACGCCCACGCCGCCACCAGCAGCGCCACTATCCGCACCCGGAAATGCTCCTCCTCCTTCTTGCCCACACTCCCCCCACTGCCGCTGCCCGCGCTCTCACTGACCATCCCACTGCTGCTGCCAGTGCTACCATCTGTGATGCTTCTGCTGCTGCCACTACCACTGCCAGCCTCCCTAATGCTGCCACTCCCAGCATCACTGCCATTTCTGCTGCTGTTCCCTCTGTCTTTCTGCCTGGAATCGGCAATGGAAGCTGTAACATCCCTGTCCTTCCACCGTTCTCTCTCCCCCTCTTCTCTTCCTGTCTCCTCCCTCCCCTCCTCCTCCACTGCCTTCCCCTTCCCTCTTAATCTCTCCACCTCCCTGCTCTCCAATACCTCCTCCTCCTCCTCTTCCTCCTCCTCCTCCTCCTCTTCCTCCCTCCCTCCCTCTTCCTCCACCTCTCCAACTCTTCTATACAAACCAGCCCCATTTCTTTTCGCTGCTCCTCCTCCTGCCCCCACCGCTCCCACTGCTCCCACAGCTCCTGCTCCTCCTTTCAGAAAAACACCATCAGTTGCTACTCCAGCCGCCTCAGCTGCACTGACTGCTCCAACTGCTCTAACGGCAACTGTGCCTGGTGACGGTGCTGCTGCAGCTCTCGCCAATGCTGCCGATGCTGCCTTTTCCGCAGCCATTATTCTCTCAACAAACCGGCTGTCCACTGGAGTATCAACAGGAGCACTGGCATGTAAAACCGACTTTTGAGGGTTTTGGAAGGCAAGAGGAGGGGGGGGAGGAACAGCAGCAGCAGCTGCAGGGCGGGCAGCACTGGGAGGAGGAGGAGGAGGAGGCGTCACAGGGTGGAAAGCAACAGGAGGGGGAGGGGGGCGAAAGGCTATGGGAGGAGGGGGGGGAGGAGCAGCAGCAGCAACACCAGCGGCACCAGCAGGAGGAGGAGGGGGAGGAGCAGCAACAGCAGCACCAGCACCGGCAGCAGCAACACCAGCAGCAGCAGCGGGGGCGGGAGGGGGCGGCAGCAGGAACTGCTGTAGCATGAGGAGGCGGGCAGCAGCGCGGAACCAGACGGAGAGCGCGGCCTTGATGGTGGCTCGCGGGCGCAGGCGGTCGATGGCCAAGGGGATGCACACGTGGAAGAGCAGCATGTCTAAAGGAATTTCCATCAGTGGGTCCGAGAACCTGAGGGGGTGGGATGGGCGAGAAGGGAGAAAAGGGAGAGAGAGCAGGGGCGTGTGGATCGGCAGGATGAGAAAAACCAGCACCACCAGCAGCAGCATGTCTAGTGGGATCTCCATTAGCGGATCGGAGAACCTGCAAGGGAGTGGTGAGGAGTGGTGGGGAGTGGTGGGGAGTGGGGTGAGATATGCAGGCGTGAATGGGAAGGCTGAGAGGCGCAGGCGGTCGGTCGATGGCGAAAGGAATGCACACGTGGAAGAGCAACATGTCTCGTGGAAGAGCAACATGTCTCGTGGAAGAGCAACATGTCTCGTGGAAGAGCAACATGTCTCGTGGGATCTCCATCAGAGGATCGGAGAACATGGGGGAAGAGGGAGGGCGATGGTACAGAAGACGGGAGAACAGGGGCGTGTGAGAGGACCAAATGGGAGTCACTTTTGAGAATTCTCAAATTTAAAAGTCGCTTTCGAGAATTCTCAAACGTGATTCCGAAGGCGGGAGAATAGGCCATGTGAAAGGGCCAAATGCGAAACCATAATTTCAGGGAGAGAGTGGAACAGACAAAGAGAGGCAGAGGGAAGGAGGGAAAAACGAGAAAAAAGGGAGTCTAAATGAAACCGACCTGTAGTAAAAGGGGAACATGTTGGGAGCGATTGCGATGGCTGCTTGCACGGGCAGGGAGAGAAGCAGCACCACGAGTGCCCCGTAGGCGAAGAGGGAGAGCACGATGCGACGTGGGAGAGATGGGATAGAGAAAGGGAGGGAGAGGGAGTAGGCGGGGAATCTAGGACTAGAACCGACCTGTAGTAAAAGGGGAACATGCTGGGAGCGATGGCGATGGCTGCTCGCACGGGCAGGAAGAGCAGCAGCACCACAAGTGCCCCGTAGGCGAAGAGAGAGAGAACGATGCTCTGAAAGAGAGGGAGAGGGAGGGAGAGGAGTCTAGAGACCAGGGGAGAGGAAGAGAGGGAGACTGAGGGAGAGAGGAAAGCAGCGGCCCCTGGAACCCACCTGTAGTTGAAGGGGAACATGCTGGGGGCGATTGCGATGGCGGCTCGCACAGGCAAGAACAACAGCAGCACCACCAGCGCGCCATAGGCAAAGAGGGAGAGCACGATGCGGCGAGCGTGCTTGGGAATGGGGTCCTCCACGAGGTCTCTGAAGGGGTTGAAGTTGGGGTCCGTGGGATCGCGGAGGAATGACAATACTCCTGGCCGCAGGATCTGGAGCAGGGGGTGAGGGCGGGGGTACAGGGAGGGGTAGGAACAGGAAAGAGAATGTGAGAAGGGAGGAGTTGGGCAGCTCAAAGGCATGTGCTTGGGAATGAGGTCCTCTACAAGGTCTCTGAAGGGATTGAATTTTGGGTCGGTGGGATCCCGGAGGAAGGAGAGAACGCCTGACCGCAGGATCTGGAGCAGGCGGGGAAGGAGGGGGAGCGACAGGGGAGAGGAAATGGTGGGGGGAAGGGATAAGATGGTGGTTGGGAATTGGAATTGGGTCCTCCAGCACATCGCGAAATGGATTGAAGTTGGGGTCGGTGGGGTCGCGGAGGAAGGAGAGAACGCCTGGGCGCAGGATCTGCAGGGAGGGAATCAAGGCGGCGAGGAGGGTGGTAGGAGGGTGGAAGAGGGGATGGAAGGTTGGAGGCATGGAGGCATGGAGGCATGGAGGCATGGAGGCATGGAGGCATGGAGGCATGGAGGCATGGAGGCATGGAGGCATGGAGGCATGGAGGCATGGAGGCATGGAGGCATGGAGGCATGGAGGCATGGAGGCATGGAGGCATGGAGGCATGGAGGCATGGAGGCATGGAGGAGGAGGCATGGAGGCATGGAGGCATGGAGGCATGGAGGCATGGAGGCATGGAGGCATGGAGGCATGGAGGCATGGAGGAGGCATGGAGGCATGGAGGCATGGAGGCATGGAGGAGGCATGGAGGCATGGAGGCATGGAGGCATGGAGGCATGGAGGCATGGAGGCATGGAGGCATGGAGGCATGGAGGCATGGAGGCATGGAGGCATGGAGGCATGGAGGCATGGAGGCATGGAGGCATGGAGGCATGGAGGCATGGAGGCATGGAGGCATGGAGGCATGGAGGCATGGAGGCATGGAGGCATGGAGGCATGGAGGCATGGAGGCATGGAGGCATGGAGGCATGGAGGCATGGAGGCATGGAGGCATGGAGGCATGGAGGCATGGAGGCATGGAGGCATGGAGGCATGGAGGCATGGAGGCATGGAGGCATGGAGGCATGGAGGCATGGAGGCATGGAGGCATGGAGGCATGGAGGCATGGAGGCATGGAGGCATGGAGGCATGGAGGCATGGAGGCATGGAGGCATGGAGGCATGGAGGCATGAGGCATGGAGGCAGGAGGCATGGAGGCATGGAGGCAATGGAGGCATGGAGGCATGGAGGCATGGAGGCATGGAGGCATGGAGGCATGGAGGCATGGAGGCATGGAGGCATGGAGGCATGGAGGGCATGGAGCATGGAGGCATGGAGGCATGGAGGCATGGAGGCATGGAGGGCATGGAGGCATGGAGGCATGGAGGCATGGAGGCATGGAGGCATGGAGGCATGGAGGCATGGAGGCATGGAGGCATGGAGGCATGGAGGCATGGAGGAGGCATGGAGGCATGGAGGCATGGAGGCATGGAGGCATGGAGGCATGGAGGCATGGAGGCATGGAGGCATGGAGGCATGGAGGCATGGAGGCATGGAGGCATGGAGGCATGGAGGCATGGAGGCATGGAGGCATGGAGGCATGGAGGCATGGAGGAGGCATGGAGGCATGGAGGCATGGAGGCATGGAGGCATGGAGGGGCATGGAGGCATGGAGGCATGGAGGCATGGAGGAGGCATGGAGGCATGGAGGCATGGAGGCATGGAGGCATGGAGGCATGGAGGCATGGAGGCATGGAGGCATGGAGGCATGGAGGCATGGAGGCATGGAGGCATGGAGGCATGGAGGCATGGAGGCATGGAGGCATGGAGGCATGGAGGCATGGAGGCATGGAGGCATGGAGGCATGGAGGCATGGAGGCATGGAGGCATGGAGGCATGGAGGCATGGAGGCATGGAGGCATGGAGGAGGCATGGAGGCATGGAGGCATGGAGGCATGGAGGCATGGAGGCATGGAGGAGGCATGGAGGCATGGAGGCATGGAGGCATGGAGGAGGCATGGAGGCATGGAGGCATGGAGGCATGGAGGCATGGAGGCATGGAGGCATGGAGGCATGGAGGCATGGAGGCATGGAGGCATGGAGGCATGGAGGCATGGAGGCATGAAGGCATGGAGGCATGGAGGCATGGAGGCATGGAGGAGGCATGGAGGCATGGAGGCATGGAGGCATGGAGGCATGGAGGCATGGAGGCATGGAGGCATGGAGGCATGGAGGCATGGAGGCATGGAGGGGAGGCATGGAGGCATGGAGGCATGGAGGCATGGAGGCATGGAGGCATGGAGGCATGGAGGCATGGAGGCATGGAGGCATGGAGGCATGGAGGCATGGAGGCATGGAGGCATGGAGGCATGGAGGCATGGAGGCATGGAGGCATGGAGGCATGGAGGCATGGAGGCATGGAGGCATGGAGGCATGGAGGCATGGAGGCATGGAGGCATGGAGGCATGGAGGCATGGAGGCATGGAGGCATGGAGGCATGGAGGCATGGAGGCATGGAGGCATGGAGGCATGGAGGCATGGAGGCATGGAGGCATGGAGGCATGGAGGCATGGAGGCATGGAGGCATGGAGGCATGGAGGCATGGAGGCATGGAGGCATGGAGGCATGGAGGCATGGAGGCATGGAGGCATGGAGGCATGGAGGCATGGAGGCATGGAGGCATGGAGGCATGGAGGCATGGAGGCATGGAGGCATGGAGGCATGGAGGCATGGAGGCATGGAGGCATGGAGGCATGGAGGCATGGAGGCATGGAGGCATGGAGGCATGGAGGCATGGAGGCATGGAGGCATGGAGGCATGGAGGCATGAGGCATGGAGGCATGGAGGCATGGAGGCATGGAGGCATGGAGGCATGGAGGCATGGAGGCATGGAGGCATGGAGGCATGGAGGCATGGAGGCATGGAGGCATGGAGGCATGGAGGCATGGAGGCATGGAGGCATGGAGGCATGGAGGCATGGAGGCATGGAGGCATGGAGGCATGGAGGCATGGAGGCATGGAGGCATGGAGGCATGGAGGCATGGAGGCATGGAGGCATGGAGGCATGGAGGCATGGAGGCATGGAGGCATGGAGGCATGGAGGCATGGAGGCATGGAGGCATGGAGGCATGGAGGCATGGAGGCATGGAGGCATGGAGGCATGGAGGCATGGAGGCATGGAGGGAGGCATGGAGGCATGGAGGCATGGAGGCATGGAGGCATGGAGGCATGGAGGCATGGAGGCATGGAGGCATGGAGGCATGGAGGCATGGAGGCATGGAGGCATGGAGGCATGGAGGAGGCATGGAGGCATGGAGGCATGGAGGAGGCATGGAGGCATGGAGGCATGGAGGCATGGAGGCATGGAGGCATGGAGGCATGGAGGCATGGAGGCATGGAGGCATGGAGGCATGGAGGCATGGAGGCATGGAGGCATGGAGGCATGGAGGCATGGAGGCATGGAGGCATGGAGGCATGGAGGCATGGAGGCATGGAGGCATGGAGGCATGGAGGCATGGAGGCATGGAGGCATGGAGGCATGGAGGCATGGAGGCATGGAGGCATGGAGGCATGGAGGCATGGAGGCATGGAGGCATGGAGGCATGGAGGCATGGAGGCATGGAGGCATGGAGGCATGGAGGCATGGAGGCATGGAGGCATGGAGGCATGGAGGCATGGAGGCATGGAGGCATGGAGGCATGGAGGCATGGAGGCATGGAGGCATGGAGGCATGGAGGCATGGAGGCATGGAGGCATGGAGGCATGGAGGCATGGAGGCATGGAGGCATGGAGGCATGGAGGCATGGAGGCATGGAGGCATGGAGGCATGGAGGCATGGAGGCATGGAGGCATGGAGGCATGGAGGCATGGAGGCATGGAGGCATGGCGGGATGGCGGGATGGCGGGAAGGAAGGTGTGATCATGAGCGGGTCAAGGACAGGAATCCAAATTTAAAAGTAATTCGTTGTTGGTCTTTACAGTAACTTGACAGCACACATACCTCTCTGAGAATGGTGACGAGCAGGCTGACTTGCAGCATGTGGGGAATGGTGGGTGCGCCAGCAGCACCACCAGCTAGCTGCGTACCTCCCTCTATCACACAACAGCTGTAACCAGCACACATACCTCTCTGAGAATGGTGACGAGCAGGCTGACTTGCAGCATGTACAGGGTCCCCACGAACCAGTGCAGGAGGCAGCAGAGCAGAGCACTGTGGTAACCAGCTAACCCACTGTAACGTACGTACCTCTCTCAAGATGGTAACCAGGAGGCTGACTTGCAGCATGTACAGGATCCCCACGAACCAGTGCAGGAAGCAGCACAGCAGCGGGTGCGCCAGCAGCAGTGCGAGGCGGTCAGAGGGGGAGGCACCAAAGAGAGAGAGCGAACAAAAGTCGATCCACCAGCCGCAGAGGAAAGGGAAGGCTCCGAGCTCCACTGACAGGAGACTAGTCACTTTCAAGACAACCAAGCCGTGCCTGATGGAGATTGGGAGTGGAACGGAGGGATACAGATGGGTGGAGAGGTGCCGAAGCGAGAGGAAAGCCACCAGCCACAGAGGAAAGGGAAGGCTCCGAGCTCCACTGACAGGAGACTGGTCACTTTTAGAACGACCAAACCGTGCCTGATATAGGGAGTGATAGGGAGGGATAGGGAGGGGTACAGATGGGTGTAAGGGAAGGCACTGAACTGACGAGGGAGAGCGAGCAGGAGCCGATCCACCAGCCGCAGAGGAAAGGGAAGGCTCCTAGCTCCACTGAGAAAAGGCTTGTGACTTCTAGAACCACTAGTCCGTGCCTGTGTGTAGAAGAATGGGGAGTTGGGAGCGGTGGAAAAGGGTGAGACGAAAGAGGAAGAGAATGCAGCAGCTCTGAGCTGGAAGACGAAAGTCGATCCAGCAGCTGCAGAGGAAAGGGAAGGCTCCGAGCTCTGAGACGTCTCAAAACTAGGCTCCGAGCTCTGAGACGTCTCAAAACTAGGCTCCGAGCTCTGAGACGTCTCAAAACTAGGCTCCGAGCTCTGAGACGTCTCAAAATTAGGCTCCGAGCTCTGAGACGTCTCAAAACTAGGCTCCGAGCTCTGAGACGTCTCAAAACTAGGCTCCGAGCTCTGAGACGTCTCAAAACTAGGCTCCGAGCTCTGAGACGTCTCAAAACTAGGCTCCGAGCTCTGAGACGTCTCAAAACTAGGCTCCGAGCTCTGAGACGTCTCAAAACTAGGCTCCGAGCTCTGAGACGTCTCAAAACTAGGCTCCGAGCTCTGAGACGTCTCAAAACTAGGCTCCGAGCTCTGAGACGTCTCAAAACTAGGCTCCGAGCTCTGAGACGTCTCAAAACTAGGCTCCAAGCTCTGAGATGTCTCAAAACTAGGCTCCGAGCACTGAGACGTCTCAAAACTAGGCTCCGAGCTCCACTGAGAGGCAACAGACTGGTGACTATTGTTAACACCACTAGCACACCCAAGCTGTGCCTAAAATGTAGGGAGGGATAGGGAGGGATACAGATGGGTGGAGAGGCGCCAAAGGGGGAGAGCAAATACTGAAGAGGGCGAGACTAGTATCCCTGATGCAGCACTACCTCCTATAGCACCAGGCGCCACCTGCAGCCAGCAGATGCTCCTTTAGACTCTCTCACCTGACAGCCGCCACCAGATGCTCCTGGATGGCCAGCGCCACCTGCAGCCAGCAGTGTGGCCGCGCCCCCACCAGCGGCAGCCCTCTCGCCCGCCTGAGCTGAATGGCAACCAGCACATGAACGGCACAGCAGAACGCCACGACCTCGTACCCCACCAGCAGCTGTTCCACCCACCACCCACCCACACAGTACCCACCTGACAGCCGCCACCAGATGCTCCTGAATCGCCGGCGCCACCTGCAGCAGCGCGAGCAGAGTAGCAGGTAACGCCCCCACCAGCGGCAGCCCTCGGGCTCTCCTCAACTGAATGGCAACCAACACGTGCACGGCACAGCAGAACGCCACGACCTCGTACCCCACCAGCAGCGACACTAGGTTCCCTGCTGCCAGCCCGTGGCCCGCTTCCGCCCAGCGGAGGCCCAAGAGCGTGCAGCACCACTGGGAGTAGAGCGCAGCTGCCAGCACGAGCTGGTGGGAGAGGGAGGATAGATGGGCTGTGGTGATTTGGAGGAGGTGGGCCAGGAGGGCTGTGGTGGTGCTGGAGCTGCTGGTTGCGGTGGTGGTGGCGGTGGTGGTGGCGGGGTTGGTTGCGGTGCTGCTGCTGTTGGTGCTGTTGCCGCTGGTAACGCTGTAATTGCTGCTGGGAGGAATGGAGCCACTGCTGCTGCTCTCCCCACCATATACCATCCCATGCTTCCCCACAGCCCCACTCCCACGCCCACCCTCCACCTCTGCTGTCAGCCCACTCTGGTTCCACTGCCCCTCTCCTAACCTCTTTCCCTTCCTCTCCCCTCTCCTCTTCCCCCTCCTCCCATGCAGCTTCAGGACGGACTTAGACGCACGTGGGACGGGAGGAGGGAGGTTTGATTTCCACTCACACTCATGCTCCCCCTCTCGAACACACCTGTACACCCCCTTATAATCACCCTCGTGCCCATGCTCCCCACTGAACACACCCTGAGTCCAACCCCCCTTCTCATACCCACACACAGGTAGCTCATCCAAAATTGCAGGCCGAGAGGAAATAGGGCAGAAGCCCCAGTGCGCAAACGGTTCCGAGGAGTTGAGATAGGTTGGGTAGATCGGGGGGATACAGGAAAGGGTGGAGAGAGGTGGAGGGGTGGGGAGGGGGAGCGAGGGGGGCCCGAGGAGGAGGGAGTAGATGGGGACGAGAGAGATGGTGGAGGCGGGGGAGAGGAAGAGGAAGGAGAAGAGGGCTATGTATAGTCGACCGAGGTTGAACGGGAGGAAGAATGCGAGCACGAGCACAAAGAAATTGCTGCAGAGCACCTGAGAGGGAGGAGAGGGGGGGAACAGGGGTGGAGGGTGGTGGTTGATCGGTCTGATTGGAGGAAGACACGAGCACGAGCACAGAGAACTGAAGAGAGGAGGGGGGAGAGGCTGAGGGGAGGAAGAGGAAGGAGAAGAGGGCTATGTATAATCGACCACGGTTGAACGGGAGGAAGAAGGCCAGTACGAGCACAAAGAAATTGCTGCAGGGCACCTGAGAGGGAGGAGAGGGAGGGAGGGTAAAGAAGGAAATGTGTGAAGAAAAGCGGGGAGGAAAGGAATGTCCTGAGGCGCCAAAGCGGCCCCTGCAGGCCTATCAGCTCCTCAAACCCCAGATCGTCCATGGGCTCTTCGTCCTCGTCCACCTCCCCCTCCCCCATGCCCACCTCGCAAGCGGCATGCAGCATTTAGTGCACTCACCGTAGTGGCATTTTCAAAGAGGCGCCAGAGCGGCCCCTGCAGGCCGATGAGCTCCTCAAACCCTAGATCGTCCATTGGCTCTCCGTCCTCGTCCACCTCCCCCTCCCCCATGCCCGCCTCCGCCTCCTCAAAATCCTCCTCCTCTTCCTCCTCTTCTTCCTCCTCCTCTTCCTCCTCTTCTTCCTCCTCTTCCTCATACTCGTAATCATCATCATCATCCTGAAAGCTCCCACTCTCCTCCTCTCCCGCACTCCCCTCCTTGCCACTACCCTCCTCCTCCTCATTCGCTTCACTGCTCTCTTCTCTTAACTCCTCATTTCCGCGTATCTCATTCCCCCACGCACTCCCCCTTTGCGCGGATATCCCCGCAGAATCTCCGCTCCCCCCATTCCCCCACGCCTGGGCGGATGAATTCGCGCCATCTCCGCCCATCTCATCCCCCCACAACCTCTCTTGCCCCTTCCTCCCCTCCCCATGCTCCCCTCCCTCCCCCAACCCACCTGCTGCTGTATCCTCTTCACTCTCCACCCCTTTCCCTTTCCCACGGCCGTCACAGCCTCTCCCCTCTGCTTCCTCTGTACATACTCTTTCCTCTCTTCTTCCTATTCCTTCCGTCCCCGCTCCAAGTCTCAATCTCCCCATCTGTCCACCCTCTCTTCGAACTACTCCCCCCCTCTCTCCCCTCCCCTCTCCCCTCCCCTCTCCCCCACCCACTTCCCCGTCACTTCCCCCCACTTCTCCCCCGATCTCACCACCTCCCCCACCATCTCCCTCTTCCCCGCGGCCTCCGCCCTCCGTACCGCCTTCATTCCCCGCACTCTTTCCCCCAGCGCCAGCCACAGTAGCAGCGGAACCTGCTGCTGCAGCAAAGCCACCTTCCGCTGCTCCTTCCCTCTCTTCCCCTTCCCTCCCTATCCCTCCTCCCTCCGCTCCTCCCGCCTCTCCTTCCTCTGCTCCTACTCCTGCCGCTATCACTGCTCCTTGCCCCTCCGCGCCTTCCCCCCCTAACTCTTCTCTTTCCGGCTCCTCCCCCCGCTCGTCCCTCCCGCTATTCCTGCCCCGCGCGTCCACCTGTCCGGTTCCCATTTGCCCCGCCTCTCCAGCCGGGCGGAAGAAAAATCTTGCCGGGCGACGCGTCTCCTGGGCGGAAGGATTCGCACCAAACACAAACGGCTGGCCGTCCGTCGCAGGGCCAGTCGCAGGACCTGTCGCAGAGCCTCCTGCACGGTCGCTGAACGAAAAAGGTCGGCCAGAAGAGCCCGGGGGGAGAGGAGTTTCCAAGGGGGGAACAACACGGGGAGGCGGAGGGGGAATTGCTCGCGGAGGGGGGGGAGGTGGCGGGGCTATGCCCCCCCTTTCCTCCTCCCCGTTTTGTCTTATTCGAGCAGCGTCCCCTGGATTTTGTTGCAACGGGGGTGGAGGGGGGGGTGGAGGCTGGTGCTGGTGCCGGTGCTGCTGGTGGCGCTGGTGCTGGTGATGCTGGTGATGGTGGTGGTGCTGGTGCTGATGCTCGTGGTGGTGGTGATGGTGGTGGTGATGATGATGGTGATGCCGTCTCTGCTGCTGGCCCCCCTGTTGCATCTGCCCCTGCTGCCCCTGCTGCCCCAGCAGCTGCCCCCGCGCCTGCGCCACGAGCACTCCACCCTCCGCTTCCGCCTCCGCTCCCTCCCCATCCCCCGCGCCCCCCAACCCCACCTCAAACCCCTCCTCCCCTTCCATCTGCTGCTCTAGCAGCTGCGCTAGATACTCCCTCAGAGACGACAAGCTCAGAAAAAACAAAATCACCGCCGCGGACAGCACGCTCCCCAGCACGCAGTCCTGGAAAATCGCGCCGCCCGTGAGCCTCTCGCGGAACAGCGCGACGATGCGCGTCCAGTCGCGGAGGAAGCAGAGGTGCCAGATGGAGCTCGTGAGGAACGGCACGAGGAGCAGCCACACGAACGCGATGAGCGCGGCGCGCAGGACGAACGAGACGGCGCGCCCCGCCATCAGCGCCGCGCCCGCGAGGAATTCGTTGGGGGGGAGGCGGGACGGCGCGTTGGGCGCGTAGATGGGGGAGAAGATGAACGCGCGCTTGCATACCTGGGTGTAGGGAAAGGGGAGGCCGCGGAAGGCGGAGGGCGTTGAGGGGAGAACGGGGAGAAAGGGGGAGAACGGGGGGAAGCGAGAGAACGGGGGAAAGGGGGATGGCGGGGAAGGGGGAGGGCGGGAACGGGGGAAGGCGGGAACGGGGGAAGGCGGGGTAAAGGGGGGAAAAGGAACGGGGAGTGGAAGGAAACAGATGGAGACGTAAGGAGCGGAAAGCGGACAGAGCTGAAAGCTTGTGGAGACAGTGGGAGGAAGACCTCTTCGCGTGTACGAGACACAGATAGCTTGCCACGTGTACGGCAAGCAGGGAGCTTGCCACATGTACGGGAAGAACGGAGCTTGCCGCGTGTACCCAAGAAGGGAGCTTGCCACGTGTACGAAAGAAAAAGAAATCCACTCTACGGGCGAGCTTGGAGCGTGTATCGGAAACCAAAACGGCGACGCAAAGGGACACAGACGCGATTGCCGGGAGAGTGGGGTGTAGCAAGCAAGGACGACTGATAGATTCGAAGAGGGGGGATATATAAAGGGCGGTGTGATGCCGACGCGAGCTCGCAATAAGGAAAATCCAGAAACAATTACTGGTTCCAGAACCTATTAAGTTAGCACCAACCGATTGCATGCATATCTTCCGTCAATAGTGACACGCAAATTTATTATCGTGGCGAGTTCGCTGTAAAGAGGAACAGGATCTTCAAGTGAATCAAGAACCGTGCAGCCAAGATGTAGGCGGTACGAAACTGAAGCACGCCAAGAAACCAGGATGTACCGCTTAGAACCATGTCAATGTCAATGTTACGAGCCGCGACACTGCGATTTTGCGAGGCTGCGACTTTCGCGAGGCTACGAGCTGCGAACGCTAACGAACCTCGCAGTGCGTTTTGTTGCTGTGGTGCAGCCATTGCAGCAAGCAGCCCTGATGCACGAACTTGATGCTCCCGCTACAAGCACACGGGTGGTACAGCGGATCCCCCTCCGCTGCCGGCGCACGGCAAATCCTACACACGTCCTCCTCCTCCTCTTTCATGGCTGGATACCGTTAGAGATAATCCTTGATTGATGTCATACAGATCGTTAAAACTCAGAAACTATTTCTGTGAGAAATGCTACTTAGGCATTGCCCGTAAAGCGAGGACATGCAAAACAGGGCTCCCTAAGTCTGCGAAAACAGGGTGAGGCTAGAACTAACACGGGAAAACGGAGACGGGTAAAAGCTGGTCGAAGAAAGACGGCAGACGGTTGGGCTCTGATGATTTTGAGAAGACTAGGACGGCGAGGTGCAAAGAGAACCAAAGCTTCTAAACAGACGAACCCTAGATTCTGAACTGAGTTGAAGAGGAAGCACCTGCCTCATCTAGATTCAGAAAGCGTGAGAACACCAACCCTAGATTCGTAACTGAGCGGAAGAGGATGAGGACCAGGGAGGGGAGCAGCCATAACCTAGCGATTTCTTGGCGATTTGTATGGTGTTTACGCTGGGCTATTGGGTAACATGGCGGTAAGCTCGCGTGTAAGTACGGTACCCGATGTTCCGTATCTTTCTGAACCGCTCCAAAACACTAAGCAAGTATCTGAACATTGATCAAACGCGCTGGTAACGAATTGCTGCGACACCCTCAGATGTTCAGCACCCCCTGTTACTGTACTGCAAATTTACACTAACGGTTTTTTCCTCTCCATCAGCTTATCTGTAGGTTCTGACAACCAAGCCAAAGTGGCGGGAAAATAACGCTTGTAGCTGTGATCTTGGCAAAGGAGTGTTCTAGAAACGGGAGAAACACGAAGTGTGGAAACGTGGCGAAAGGTCACACAGGATCCTTATCCATTCGCGACAAAAGCAGCACTTTCCAGGCTCGCAAGCGTTTGCTGACCTGGATATCGTCGCGTCGTGCCACGTAGTACACAAGTGCAAAATGATCTCACACATCCGTAACTACAACCATCATCAGGTTCGCGAGAAGAACAATGCTGCGGTTACCACTAGCACTTGTTGTCACGCATCCACGGTCACCAGAGTAGGGTGAACCAAACACAGCACACACCACAAGCCGTGGCGATCAGTTTCCCAGGTTTCGCCAACGCATTTCTCTCGTGAGCTCTCGCCATCAGCAAAACAACGCTTTTTCTCCCGATGATAACTCTGCAGCCATAATTCCCATAGCTGCCTGAAGCTGATTGCTTGTACTTTTTAGTGGATCAGCTACAGCTGGTCAGGTCGGGGATTTTGCTGTAGCTGCTATCGTTGTTAGCTAACATGGTGGCGACGTTAATCTGTCCAGCCATGGCTGTGGTAACACCCAAGGCACAGCAGCCAATTACGCATCAACCAGCTACTCGGAGAATCGCCAGACTACCAATGTGCTTACCGCAGCCGATCGCGCTTAACGGCAAGATACCTATGCACCACCGTCATCAACATTCATTTTTCGCCACGTATCCAGATCGCACACCGTCAATCTTCGCTTCACGAAGCCGCGTACCCACTGGCAGACGACAGCCGTTGATCGCAAGAGCGCAATCCGACGGTTCTGATGCACCACCAACCCAGACGCCTCCGCCGGCAACCCCACCACCGGCAACTTTCAAGTCGTCACAAACCTCCCAACCGCCAACTTCGGCCGGCACGCTGGAGCTTGTCGGCGAGGACGCCGCCGTCTTCAGCATTGACGACCAGAAAACCTCCTCGTGGGCGGCGTTTTTTGGCGTATTAACCGTCGTAATGGCAGCGCTGTACGTGATCTGGATCGATCCAAACACCGGATTTGGCGGCGCGTACATCGGTCTGTTCGAATCGCTCTCCGATAGCCGCGAGATTCAGATGCTGCTGATGCTTCTCGTGTTCGCTATCGTGCACAGCGGAGGCGCTGCGCTCCGGCCGGCGGCGGAGCGCGTGATAGGCGAGCGCGCTTATCGCGTGCTGTTCGCGGGGATCTCTCTGCCGCTCGCCGTCTCTGCCGTGGTACGTTTGAGTGAATCTTGAGAGTGTTGAGAATTAACTAGCGAATGTGAGTGAGTCTTGAGAGTGTTGAGAATTAACTAGCGAATGTGAGTGAGTCTTGAGAGTGTTGAGAATTAACTAGCGAATGTGAGTGAGTCTTGAGAGTGTTGAGAATTAACTAGCGAATGTGAGTGAGTCTTGAGAGTGTTGAGAATTAACTAGCGAATGTGAGTGAGTCTTGAGAGTGTTGAGAATTAACTAGCGAATGTGAGTGAGTCTTGAGAGTGTTGAGAATTAACTAGCGAATGTGAGTGAGTCTTGAGAGTGTTGAGAATTAACTAGCGAATGTGAGTGAGTCTTGAGAGTGTTGAGAATTAACTAGCGAATGTGAGTGAGTCTTGAGAGTGTTGAGAATTAACTAGCGAATGTGAGTGAGTCTTGAGAGTGTTGAGAATTAACTAGCGAATGTGAGTGAGTCTTGAGAGTGTTGAGAATTAACTAGCGAATGTGAGTGAGTCTTGAGAGTGTTGAGAATTAACTAGCGAATGTGAGTGAGTCTTGAGAGTGTTGAGAATTAACTAGCGAATGTGAGTGAGTCTTGAGAGTGTTGAGAATTAACTAGCGAATGTGAGTGAGTCTTGAGAGTGTTGAGAATTAACTAGCGAATGTGAGTGAGTCTTGAGAGTGTTGAGAATTAACTAGCGAATGTGAGTGAGTCTTGAGAGTGTTGAGAATTAACTAGCGAATGTGAGTGAGTCTTGAGTGCTGATTGCGAGCCTTGAGAGTGTGTTGTGCCTTTCGTGCGCTCGCGGCCGCTCGCCGAATCGGCCGTGGAACGTCCGAGGGCACTATTGAGAGCCTTTTAACGGATGTGATTATAATGCAGGTCTTGAGTCCACCAGAGAGTGTGAGTTGAAGTACACAAAAGGATAAGACTTAGGCCCGACTAAGGAGTTTGAGGTTTGAGCTAAAGTATGGCGACTTCTGTGTTTCCGAGCTAAACTCGATTTCTCATTTCCTCCCTCCACTCACTCTCCCCACTCTCGTCCCACGCCCCCCCCCCCCCCCCCTTTCCCGCCCTCTTCCACTCTACTCACCACCCACCCACCCCATCAGGTGTTTTTCATCAAACCATCCCTACTCTCCCCCCTTTTCCCCCCACCCCTCTCCCCATTAGGTGTTTTTCATCAACCACCGCTAAGACGGCTTTCCGTTGTGGCAGCTACGTGGCATGCCAGGCATGCACGAGCTCGTGTGGGCGCCTCTCTTCCTCACTCCCCGCCCACCCCTCTCCCCCACCCTCCCCATCAGCTGTTCTTTATTAACCATCGCTACGGCGGCTTCCCCCTCTGGCAATTACGCGGCGTGCCAGGCATGCACGAGTTCGTGCGGGCGCTCGCTTTCGTCTCCTTCTTCTTCCTCTACCCCTCCACATTCAACCTTTTTGCCACCCATACTCTTTCCCCTCTTCCACCCACTGCCCCTCCCATCAGGTATTCTTTATCAACCACCGGTATGACGGTTTCCCTCTCTGGCAGCTACGTGGCGTGCCAGGCATGCACGAGTTTGTGTGGGCGCTCGCGTTCGTCTCCTTCTTCTTCCTCTACCCCTCCACATTCAACCTTCTCGAGGTGGCTGCGGTTGATAAGCCAAAGCTGCACATGTGGGTGACGGGCATCATGCGAATCACCAGGCACCCCCAGGTACTGTGTGGTGCAGTGCGGTATAGTGGGATGTGGTGTGTATGGCATCTCCCCTTCTTCTTCCTCTACCCCTCCACATTCAACCTGCTCGAGGTGGCAGCGGTTGATAAGCCAAAGCTGCACATGTGGGAGACGGGCATCATGATGATCACAAGGCGTCCCCAGGTGTGGTGTGGTGCCGTGCGGTATGGTCTCTCTCTTTCCTCCGTGCCTTCCCCCCTCGCCTCCTTCTTCTTCCTCTACCTCTCCACCTTCAATCTGCTCGAGGTGGCAGCGGTTGATAAGCCAAAGCTGCACATGAGGGAGCAGGTGTGGCGTTGTGTAATGCGATGTGGTGCAGTGCAGTGTGGTCAGATGAGGTGAAGTGTGGTGTGCTATAGCTCTCGTTTCATTTCTCTTCTTCTCTCGTGCTCTCTGTTCTCGTCCTCCCTTGTTCTGCCCCCATCCCCTCCTTTTTTGCTCCCTCCTCCTATCACCTTATTTGAGCTCTCATCCCCTCTCTGGTCAGCTTCTCTGGTGAGCCACGCACATCCTTATTTCCTTTGTGCTCCCTCCTCCCAGCACATCCTTATTTCCTTTGTGCTCCCTCCTCCCATCACCTTATTTGACTGGTCAGCTTCTCTGGTGAGCCACGCACATGCTCTGGATAAATTCCCCCTTCAATTCTCTCCTCTTGATCTTTGCTCACATGTTGTCTCCTCCCATCCTGTGTCGTCTCTCATCCTCTCTGCTCCCATAGCTCTCCTCCTATCTCCCTCTTTTCTGTCGTGCTCTCTCCTCTATCACATGCCCTTAGATGACTGGTCAGCTGCTCTGGTGTGTGGCTCACATGCTCTGGATCGGCTCCTCCTTCAATGCTCTCCCCTTCTCTCCTCTATCTCGTCTATCTCCCTTTCTTTCGTACATGCCATCAGATGACCGGTCAGCTGCTCTAGTGTGTAGCAGAGCGCACATGCTCTGGATCGGCTCTTCCTTCACGGCAGTCACCTCCCCTCTCTCATCCCATCTGACCTGTTCCCTCATCCTCTCCTCCTATTTCATCAGATGACCGGTCAGCTGCTCTGGTGTGTGGCGCACATGCTCTGGATCGGCTCTTCCTTCACGGCAGTCACCTCCCCTCTCTCCTCCCATCTGACCTGTTCCCTCATCCTCTCCTCCTATTTCATCAGATGACCGGTCAGCTGCTCTGGTGTGTGGCGCACATGCTCTGGATGGGCTCTTCCTTCACGGCAGTCACCTCACTCGGCCTGTGCCTGCACCACCTCTTTGGCGTGTGGCACGGTGACCAGCGGCTGGAGAAGAAGTATGGAGAGGCTTTCGACGAGGTGAGCAACAGAGAAGGGGCGAATTTGGGAGCATGTGGGTGCATGTGGGTGCATGTGGGTGCATGTGGGTGCATGTGGGTGCATATGGGTGCATGTGCGTAGTAGGTGCTTGCTCTCACATCCCTCGGCTTGCTGCTGCACCACCTGTTTGTGGTCCGCCATGTTGACCAGCGCCTTGAGAAGGATTATGGAGAGGCATTCGAAGAGGTGGGCAAGAGAGAAAGGGCGCATTTGGGAGCATGACTTTTGAGACGTCTCAAAAGAAAGAGTACGGAGAGGCATTCGATGAGGTGAGCAAGAGAGGATGGGTGCCTTTAGTTGCATCCCAGCTATTCTAGATGCATGTAGGTGCATGTAGGTGCATGTAGGTACGTCCGTGTGAGTCTCGGTGGGCTGAAGTGAAGTCGTGTCCTCCACCACCGTCGCTCACCCCCCTCCTTTGTCCCATACCTAGGTTTGCAGTCGGACAAGCATCGTTTTCTTTGCAACCATTCTGGACGGCAACAAACAGCTGCCCCCAGATTACTACAAGGAATATCTTCGCGTGCCGCACCTTCCCTCGTCACCCTTCCACCCTCCCTCGTTCATTCACCCGTTCCCTCCCCATCCCCTGCCCAGGTCCGTAAGCGCACGAGCATGGTCCCGTTTGCAGCCATTCTGGACGGCAGGCAACAGCTGCCTCCAGATTACTACACGGCATTCCTCATCACTCTTCCTCCCTCCCTCCCGCATTCCCTCCCCTCCTCCCCTAACCAGGTGTGGGGTCGCACGAGCATAGTCCCATTTGCAGCCATTCTGGACGGCAGGCAACAGCTGCCTCCAGATTACTACAAGGAGTTTCTGCGAGTGCCGGACCTTCAACCCTCCCATGTTTCCTCCCCCCCTCCCTCACCCCCTCCCGCGCACCCTCCCACACACCCTCCCACGCACCCTCCCTCCTCCCCTGCCCAGGTCCGAAAGCGCACGAGCATCGTCCCCTTTGCAGCCATTCTTGATGGCAGGCAACAGCTGCCTCCGGATTACTACAAGGAGTTTCTCCGTGTGCCGTACCTTGCAATCGCAGCCATGACTGTTGGGGCGTATTTCTGCCATCCCCTCATGATTCAGGCCAGCTTTTGGCTTCATTGGTAGGAAAGGGACGTGTAGTGAAGGAGACAAGCCAGGCAGCAGCACGTGCTGTGCATTGCAAGGGGCGTACTTCTGCCATGACTCAAGGGGCGTACTTCTGCCATGACTCAAGGGGCGTACTTCTGCCATGACTCAAGGGGCGTACTTCTGCCATGACTCAAGGGGTGTACTTCTGCCATGACTCAAGGGGCGTACTTCTGCCGTCCTCTCATGATCCAAGTCAGCTTTTGGCTTCACTGGTAGGAAGGCAACATAGAGAAGGAAATAACCCAGGCAGCAGCTTGAGCCTAACCCTGCAATCACAGCCATGACTCTACCGTACCGTCCTTCAATGATTCGGGCCAGCTTCTGGTCTGGCTTCATTGGTAGGGTGGGGCTCTTGCCGGGAACGGGAAAATGTATCGCGGTAAATTGTTTTGTGCACTCTTGTATCATCGACCACCTTTTGTAACGAGGTGCTTCTTAGTACCGTAGCAGTACCGTAGCTGTTATTGTGATGCTTTTTTTTTTTACAAATACCTTACTTTATCTGTGCTGACAATAGCCACTGTATTCATCTATAATCTTCTCAATGTTGGCCATCCCATGCTTAGTTGAAAAGGATTAAAAAGATGAGTCAATCCTTACTGAAATGTATAGACGCAATTCAGAAAAACGACTGCTCTTCGAGTCTTTTCATAAAGCATACAGAGAAATGTGGGTGACGGAAATCATGTCGCTGATCTTCACACATGTGAAATCCTTCTATGATAGGATACAATGTGCTTCCCGCTGCTTCGTCTGATTTGCGGCTCGCACTGGAGCATGCATGTGTCGACTGGGCGGCGGAACAGGCTGCAACGAGATTATTAGTATCCGTGTAAAAAGACTACCTGATTGGCTCACTTATGTGATTTTTTCTTGGCCGCTCAACACAAGCCAATCGAGGCTGGCCAGTATCATCACAGGCAGCACAACTGGCTGTTAGTGAAAGAGGTAACCGACGGGCAGAACGATGAGGAACAGATTGGTACATGTACCCATAGCCAAAATCGACAATAACTACTATTTATGTGCCGTAAGAGTAATCACGTCACGACCTTCACGCGAAAAAAGGGCACAATGCACTTCACGGTCAGCGAGGTTGAGACAGCGAGTGCAACGATACATCATGCTCACCGATGTATCTCGACAAATAAATGCGCGGTGAAGGATAGCCATTCCTGATGCTGCAGGCATTTATGTCGTATCGGTTTCTTGACAATAGTGAGTCATCTTACGTGGTTTTAAAGCCCAAGACCTGAATTACAAAAAAGGGAAGGCAAACTGTGCACAGTTTGCCTCCCGAGCCCACAGTTTTTCTCCCGAGCCTCTCCGGTTACCAGATGACTTCCCGCAGAAAAACAGTGAGTCGTAGAGCAGCACAGGTTCGGTTGGCGAGAGCCCCAACCACTCCCTCCACAAGAGATAACGGCTGCGGCTGTGCACAGTTTGATTTTTTTGTAATTCAGGTCGTATGGTACGAGGAACTCCCAGTTTACCAGCAGAGGTAGAACAGAAAGCCAATAGAGCTGTAGCTTAGTTCACAAAAAAGTCTAGATTCTGTGCGATGGCCCCGCCTTTTACTCTGCATCGTCGTCGAACCCCTGCGCGACCGCGCAAAACGCCAGTTTGCCGCATGCATCACCTTCCTCTCCATGGTAGTCAACTACCCGCCGCCCTGCAGTGACTTCCTGTCCTGCTTGCCGTCATGACCCCATTCCGACGCCCTCAGCTCCAGTTGTAGGGCGCATTCGCCCTACGTTTCCGTCCGCCCTTTTCCCCTCCCATCGCTTCCTCGTCGACGTCGTCGTGTCCCACAACGGCGGCACTTTTATGTCCCCGATCGCTTCCCCTCACCGTCGCCCACGCTTCCCCCCACCGTCGCCCACGCTTCCCCCCACCGTCCCCGATCGCTTCCCCCACCGTCGCCCACGCTTCCCCCCACCGTCGCCCACGCTTCCCCCCACCGTCGCCCACGCTTCCCCCCACCGTCGCCCACGCTTCCCCCCACCGTCGCCCACGCTTCCGCCCACCGTCGCCCACGCTTCCTCCCACTGTCCCTCACACTTCACCCCACCGTCGCCCACGCTTCCCCCCATCGTCGCCCACGCTTCCCCCCACCGTCGCCCACGCTTCCCCCCACCGTCTCCCACTCTTCCCCCCACCGTCGCCCACTCTTCCCCCCACCGCCGCCCACGCTTCCCCCCACCGTCGCCCACTCTTCCCCCCACCGTCGCCCACGCTTCCGCCCACCGTTGCCCACCCTCCCCCTCACTGTCATCCACGCTTCCCCTCACCGTCGCTCATGCTTCCCCATCATGTCGCTTACGCTCCCCCCCACCGTCGCTCATGCTTTCCCCCACCTTCCCCCACTCTTCCTTTCTCATCACCTACGCTTCCTCCCACCGTCGCCCTCGCTTCCTCCCACTCTCCCTTACACTCCCTCCCACAGTCACCCACGCTTCCCCCCACCGTCCCCCACGCTTCCCCCCACCGTCGCCCACGCTTCCCCCCACCGTCGCCCACGCTTCCCCCCACCGTCGCCCACGCTTCCCCCCACCGTCGCCCACGCTTCCGCCCACCGTCGCCCACGCTTCCTCCCACTGTCCCTCACACTTCACCCCGCCGTTGCCCACGCTTCCCCTCACCGTCGCCCACGCTTCCGCCCACCGTCGCCCACGCTTCCCCCACCGTCGCCCACGCTTCCTCCCACTGTCGCTCACACTTCACCCCGCCGTTGCCCACGCTTCCCCCCACCGTCGCCCACGCTTCCCCGCACCGTCGCCCACGCTTCCCCCCACCGTCGCCCACGCTTCCGCCCACCGTCGCTTACGCTCCCCCCCACCGTCGCTCACGCTTTCCCCCACCTTCCCCCACTCTTCCTTTCTCATCGCCTACGCTTCCTCCCACCGTCGCCCTCGCTTCCTCCCACTCTCCCTTACACTCCCTCCCACAGTCACCCACGCTTCCCCCCACCCTTGCACCCTTCTTTCCTTCTCTCTGACTCTCCCTTCCCCACTGCCTGGGTGTGCGAGGCGAGGAGCATGCTCCGCGGTGCACACGTCCTGCCCCTCACGCTGTGCCCCACACAACCCTATGGCAGCACAGCAAGCTTGAACCAGCCTCCTCCTCTCTCTTTCACCAACCCCGCTCGCATGGCAGGTGCTGCTGCAGCATTGGAGGAGAATGCTGGGCGCACAGCCGGGGCAGCGCGTGCAGGCGGGAAGTGAGGAGCGCTGTGCACAAAGGGAAAGGGGGGCGGGGCAGGGGAGTGGGGGAGGCGTGGCAGGGGAGTGGGGGAGGCGTGGCAGGGGAGTGGGGGAGGCGTGGCAGGGGAGTGGGGGAGGCGTGGCAGGGGAGTGGGGGAGGCGGGGCAGGGGAGTGGGGGAGGCGGGGCAGGGGAGTGGGGGAGGCGGGGCAGGGGAGTGGGGGAGGCGGGGCAGGGGAGTGGGGGAGGCGTGGCAGGGGAGTGGGGGAGGCGTGGCAGGGGAGTGGGGGAGGCTTGGCAGGGGAGTGGGGGAGGCGTGGCAGGGGAGTGGGGGAGGCGGGGCAGGGGAGTGGGGGAGGCGGGGCAGGGGAGTGGGGGAGGTGGGGCAGGGGAGTGGGGGAGGCGGGGCAGGGGAGTGGGGGAGGCGGGGCAGGGGAGTGGGGGAGGCGGGGCAGGGGAGTGGGGGTGGCGGGGGCAGGAAGCCGTCCCGACTTCCTCTCTCGTCCGCTAATTCGCCTTCTCCTGTCCGCCCTTCCACTCTCCATTCCTCCCTCCTCTCTTTCTCTCTCTTTCCCTCCACTTCTCCCGTCCGCCCCTCCTCCCAGTCTCCCTCCTCCCTACCACTCTCTCACCCACTCTTTCTTTCAATTTTTGAGTCGACTCGAAAATCGACTTTCTCTCTCTTTCCCTCCACTTCTCCCGTCGGCCCCTCCTCCCAGTCTCCCTCCTCCCTACCACTCTCTCACCCACTCTTTCTTTCATCCTCGTGCCTCTCTTCCACCATGCCGACCTTCTTTTCAAACTGCCACCTTCCGAGCTTCCTATAGTCCGCCTTTCCGTCTCACCCACTTGTCCTATCCCTACTTGAATTCCTCACATCCTCTCATCCCCCCTTCTCCCCTTCCACCCTTCCACCCTCCAGCCCTTGCGCTCATCCTCCCTTCCTCTCATCCTCCCTTCATCTCATCCTCCCGTTCTCTCATCCTCCCATCCTCCCTTTCTTCCTTCCCCCCTCCCTTTCTCTCTTCCGCCCTTCCTCCTTGTCTCCCTTGCTCATTTTCTCCCTCGGCGCATGCTTATTTTCCCTGCATCCCTCGCTGCCATCCTCCCTTCCTCTCAGCCTCTACACTTCCTCTCGTCAACCATTCCTCCGCACCCTTCTACCCTGCCACGCCTGTACACTCCTACCTTGTTTGTTTATTCTAGGGGCTTGTTTCTTGTTCCCTGCCTGCCCTTCCATTGGCATTGCTTTGTATCCTTCCCCGCTGCTTCAACTTTTGGCACAGAAGATTTTGTGGTTCGTGTTTGTGCAGGTCTGTCATGCATGAAGTTGTGATGTCTTTGCTGTTGGGTGATAGTGGTACAAATAGCGATGCCATGCCATGCCATGATGGTGGATGCTTTTCATGATACAATCATACAACACTCTGGGCTTTGGAGCAGCCATGCACATGACCACGACAAAGAAATGCAACAATGCAAGTTATATTTTTATAAAAGTTGTCAACAGTGGATTATAGAGGCACAATGCACAAACCTAGGGGGTGGTAACTTTCCATCCCACTCCTGTTGGGACCCATGGTGCCGGGCACCTGTACAAGCATGGTTCTGTGATAGAATGGGGAGGGAAGAGGGGGTACGGCGAATGAGCGAGGGGTGGAGGTGGGAGGTACAAAGGGCATGTATGGGAGGAGTGGGGACAGGGCAGAAGGGTGAGCGAAGGGGAAAGAGAGTCAGTAGGGGGGAGAAGGGGGTGAGAAAAGGGGGAAATAGAGTGAGCAGGGAGGAGAAGGGGGTGAGAAAAGGGGGAAATAGAGTGAGCAGGGAGGAGAAGGGGGTGAGCAAAGGGGGAAATAGAGTGAGCAGGGGGAGGGATTGTGGGGAAAAAGGGTTGAACGAAGGGGAATATAGAGTAAACAGGGGGGAAAGATAAGTGAGTCCAGGGGGAAAGAGAGAGAGCAGAGGGGGAGAGAGTGAGCAGGCGGAAAGAGAGCGAGCAGAGGGGGAGAGAGTGAGCAGGGGGAAAGAGAGAGAGCAGAGGGGGAGAGAGTGAGCAGGCGAAAAGAGAGCGAGCAGAGGGGGAGAGAGTGAGCAGGGGGAAAGAGAGAGAGCAGAGGGGGAGAGAGTGAGCAGGGGGAAAGAGAGAGAGCAGACGGGGGGAGAGTGAGCAGGGGGAAAGAGAGAGAGCAGAGGGGGGGAGAGTGAGCAGAGGGGAAAGAGAGTGAGCAGGGAGAAAGAGAGTGAGCAGAGGGGGAGAGAGTGAGCAGGGGGAAAGAGAGAGAGCAGAGGGGGAGAGAGTGAGCAGGGGGAAAGAGAGTGAGCAGAGGGGGAGAGAGTGAGCAGAGGGGAAAGAGAGCGAGCAAGGGGGGAGAGAGTAAGCAGGGGGAAATAGAGTGAGCAGAGGGGGAGAGAGAGAGCGTGGGAGTAATGGAGTGAGCCGGGAAAAAGGTGGCGAGCAAAGGGGGAAAGAGAGCGAGAATGGGGAAAATGGGTGAGAAAGAGGGAAAGTGGGGTGAGGACAGGGGGAGTGAGCAGGGGGAATGGGAGTGAACAGGAGAGAAGAGAGCGAAGGGGGGAGAAGAGAGTGCACGGGGGAGAAGAGAGTATGGGGGGGAGAGAGTGAGCAGTGAGCAGGGGGGAAGAGAGTGAGCAGGGGGGAAGAGAGTGAGCAGGGGGAGAGAGAGTGAGCAGGGGGGGAGAGAGTGAGCAGGGGGGGAAAGAGTGAGCAGGGGGAAAGAGAGTGCACACGGGAGAAGAGAGTAAGGGGGGGGGGGGGGGGAAGAGAGTGAGCAGTGAGCAGGGGGGAAGGGAGTGAGCAGGGGGGAGGAGAGTGAGCAGGGGGAAAGGGTTGAGTGAAGGGGAAAAGAGAGGGGTGAGAACAGGGGGAAAGGGAGTGTACAGGAGAGAAGAGAGTGAGGGTGGGGAAGAGAGTGAGCGGGGGGGAGAGCGTGAGCAGGAGAGAGTGAACGGCAATGGGAGGGGTAGTGAAGGCGACAGGCGGGAAGCGAGTGCGACTGGCGGGGAAGAGAAGGTGACGACGGGAGGGGAAGCGAGTGCGGCGGGCGGGGGAAGCGAGAGCGACGGGCGGGGGAAGCGAGTGCGACGGGCGGGGGAGGCGAGAGCGACGGGCGGGGGAAGCGAGTGCGACGGGCGGGGGAAGCGAGTGCGACGGGCGGGGGAAGCGAGTGCGACGGGCGGGGAAGCGAGTGCGACGGGCGGGGAAGCGAGTGTGACGGGCGGGGAAAGCGAGTGCGACGGGCGGGGGAAGGCGACGGGAGGGGGAAAATGAGCGCGACGGGTGGGGGAGAAGTGAAGGCGACGGCGGAGAGGAAGTGAAGGTGACGACGGGGGGGAAAGTGAGGCGACGGGGGAGGGGAAGTGAAGGCGACGGGGGAGGGGAAGTGAAGGCGACAGGCGTGGAAAGCGAAGGCGACGGGCGGGGCGAAGGCGACGGGCTGAGGTCGCGAAGGCGACGAGCTGGGGAAGCGATGGCGAAAGAGATTGGAAGCGTGGGACCTAGGGAAAGGAGCGAGGGCGAGGAGAGGTTCACGCTTGGGCGAAGGGTCACGCTACGATATTCGCCGCGAGTTTACGCATCAGTTGCACTCAAACCTGCATTTCGACACCAGCGGACACTATCTTTGCGCGTCATCGAAATCCGCGCCACACCCATTCGTAAGGCGCCTCTGATTCCCCGCTATGTCTACAGGTATGCTCTATGCCTAGTTATCTGCGTGCTATCTCAAACTGTGCACAGTTTGGGATGGACGCCCTTTTCTGGTCGTTGTGGGAAGGACCACCCATCACTCATATTCTTGTGCGCGAGAAACTTTTGTCGCAAATTAGTTTCGCGAGCGAAAGTGCTTCGCACCCCAACCGAACCTCCGTGTCCCTCCCTTCCGAACCTAATTTTTTCCGTTGACTTCCGTTGAGTAATTCAGGTCTTGGGCTTTAAGGGCTGCAGCATTTTAATTGCTCCGAGCTTCGTGGACCTTCGCTCGTTGCGCCGGGAAATCAAGGCAACACTAATCAAGTCGGGACTGGAAGCCCGGGGCTGTCATAAGTTGCTAGCTGAAGCTGCTGGGAAGATTCAAGGACGCACTGCATTTTTGGGAGACATCCTAAAAAATATCGGCCAAGGTTGACGGAATCTCGACAACAGTCTTGGACAAAGCTGGAAGGGCTAATAGCTCTAACGTTAGGAAACTGCGTAGCTGGCCATTACAGTAGTCCGTCTCGAAAATTGAGATTTCTCTGGCAGGAATTTACTTCCAAACCTCAACCAATGTGATCACGAAGAGTTTATTCTGCTCACATAGTTTCCTCGTGTTTTGCATTTCGTCATGTCGGTGTATCTTTTTACGTTTCTACTCTACTTCTGGGTAATAATGGCATTTCTTCGTGGTGTGAGGGATTCTTGAAAATATTACTAATGGACGAACATGGAGGAACAGACAGGTAAGGCCGTCATCAAAATCCACATACGCGGTGATATGAGTCGAACGAAAGGTAAGTGGACCACCAGATTTCCAATCCAGCGTCATGCTGATGTGTACCACGCAACAAGAATCACATATTATGGCGGGAAACGAGATACCTCGTTGGCACGTGTCGGACAGTTCCATTGAGGTTCCACAGCGCGGCAACCTGTAAACACCAATCACGGGCGACAGCTGTTCACGAAATGACAGCACCTGCTCGACGTGGGTGTTCTGTGGTTCAGAGCGATCTGCATGCCAGCTTGCATGGGCAGCACAGCTGCAGCAGACGAAATTATCCATTCCCGTCTCATCAACGTGCCCCTTCCCGTATGCCAACCAAGCCGGAAACCCCCTTCACTCGTCTATCTCTTCCTCGCTTCCCTCTTGCCCTCTCGGTCTGCCCCTTCTCATCTCGCTCTCCCCGTCTGCCCCATCTTGCTCTGTCTGCCCCACTTCAATCCAACTCCTGTCTGGAACTGTTCACCCGCCCTTCCATCTCCCTCCCCCTTTTGCGGACACACCCACCCCTATCTCTACCTGTTGTCTGTCCGACTGCCCCATCCTCCCCCACAAGGATAAGATCACCTCATTCTCACTCACACTGTTTTCTACTCAGTTGGTCGCCACTTTGGATTACCACTAGAGTCCTTTGGACCTCAACTCAAGGTTCTACGTGTTCTGTTAAAATACTTCAAATCTCCATTATTCGTGGATAGACTGTCCCCAGTCTCGACGACGCCATGGCTGCCACTCGCCCATCAGACGCTGTTCGCAGCTGCTACCCGCCATTCCCCCGGAAGGACTCTCGCTGTCCTTCCACCAGCGCTAGCGGCTCCAATCAGCCGCACCACCAGTTGCGGAAGGCTATGGAGTCACGATTGGCAGCGTCGTCGGGCGCAGTCTCGTCGAATCGCGCATGCGAGAAAGCTGCGCTTGTCTCCTCGACCTCCCAGTCCTCGTCTGCCCCGTCCTCATCTCCACGTGTCATTCCGAAATCTCGCAGTAGCGGGGCGCTCCTCGCCTCATGCCCCATCCCGTTTAAGGCAGGAGTTTCTCCCCTCGCTCCTCCTGCCGAATCATCCATGACCGCCTCTTCGTCCCTGTCGGGTAACCAGACGGTTGCGACAGACCCTTTTTCGCGTCTGCCGGACGACGTGGTTATCGAAATTCTTTCGCATCTGGGCGGCGGGGCGCCCGACGTGCTTGCAGCGTCGATGACTTGTCGCCGATGGCAGTCGTTCACTCGCTCGATCCCCGTCTTGCGATTCGTCCCCCACGACACGAGCCGGGCGGGCGGAAGCGACTGCGCCTCCACGCTCCCCGCTTGTTCCGCCATCCAACGCGAGGAGCTTGTATCGCGTATGGTTCTAAAATCTACCGGTCTGCAGCAGCTTCAAGTCACCTCCTCCCTCCTCCCACCGCCGACCGCTACTGCCTTCCCCGCACGCTCCGCCTCGTCCCCATGCGACCATGGCGGCGATGGCGCGTGCAGCGGCAGCGCAGAGGCAACCCCGCAGCAGCAGCAGCAGCAACAGGAGCAGCACCAGCAGCACCCGCGCGAATTCATTTTCGAAGCATGGATGCGCCACGCCGGTCCGCAGCTGCAGTCCCTCGTGCTCTCCCGTTCTCTCAACGCCGCCGCGAACGGCGGCGGGTCTACGACGATCAACGTGTGGGAGAACGAGGATCTCAGCTTGCATCTCGGGCATATTTCCCGTCACTGCAAGTCCCTTCGGTCACTCACTCTCGGGTCACTCTCACTCGCGGCGCCTGCGCTCGAGTCGTGTCTCCGCCCCATGCCCAACTTGCAGGATTTGTCGCTTTCCTGGATCCACCTGACGAATGAGTGCCTTCAGATGATTCTCGACGCGACTCCAAATCTCCGCCGTTTGACGATATTTATGGCGACGGGCTGCCCGCAAATTTCGCTTCGCCTGCCCGCTTCGTTGGAGCACGTCGACTTTGCTTACCTGCGCGCCGAGTCGTGCGCCTTCATCACCGCCTCCTCGCTCAGATCCGTGTCCATTCGCGACATGTTCGTGCGCTCAGTTACCATCCAACAAGCCCCTCGACTGCGCTATTTCGCCATCGCCAGCGCCAGCCTCCTGGAGGTCTCTGCACCTGAGTCGTGCGAGATCACCACCCTCGATTTGAAAGCCGGTTCCTTCTGCTGGTCCTCGCTACAATCTCTCCTTCGCGGATGCGGCACGGCTCTCAACTCGCTCGCTCTCGATTTCTTCACCGCGGGATCTGGAGCGCTGTCGTCGGGAGTATTCTCCCTCTTCTGGCTCGCTGCCATGTGCCCCGCACTTCGCGCCTTGAATCTCGGCTCGCTGCCGTGGCAACTCGTCCTCTCCTGGGCGACGACCTCCGGCGCGCTTCAGCCGGCGGGATCCGCGGTGGGATCTGCGGCGCGTTGGCCGCAGCTGGAGGAGCTGAAGCTCAAGGTTCAGGAGCAGAGGCCCGAGGCGCTGCTGTTGCTGCATGCGCTTCTGTCGAATGTGCCGACACTGAAGTCGCTTCAAGTGGCGACTGCAGTGGATGAGGAGGAGGAAGAAGAAGAGGAAGAGGAGGAGGAGGAGGAGGAGGAGGAGGAGGAGGAGGAGGAGGAGGAGGAGGAGGAGGAGGAGGAAGAAGACGAGGAATTCGAGGAATTCGAGGAGGAAGATGAGTGTGATGATGAGTACGAGGAAGAGGAGGTCGAGGAGGAGTATGAAGCAGAATACGAAGATGACGTGGACGAAGATGATTTGATGGAAGTGGAGGAGGGCGCGGAGAGCTCTGACGAGTATGACGACAAAGATGAAAGCATGCCGGTCAGGTCCGGCAAACCTGCTGTTCAGCGTCACATGAGCCGGCAGGAGCTGTTTCTCAAAGGGCTTGTGTGCCTGCAGCAACGATTTTCTGATGTTAACGTCTTCCTGCCGCTGCTCGCTCGCCGGTCTACTTCGTGAACTGGTTTGCCCCAGGTTTCTTCAAGAAACTTAATTAGATGCATTTATAAGTATACCATGTTCAATATGTGTTGTACCCTAATCCAGGGTTTGATGGCCAAATTTTCTATGCACCACTTCGTTCTACACTTTGTCCATTGATACATTCTGTTCAACACGTACCGGTACGAATGGCTGATGGAAACAATTACCTCCTTCACATTGGTACTGTCTGTTGTGATATTGTAAGGTTGGTTGGGGTACGGTACAGGCCATATTTTATCAGTGTAAATCACCCTGATACCCTGATTATCAGGGTGGTTTTTGGTAGTCACACTGATGCCTTAGGGTAATTTTTTTGGGAGCTAGATTTTCCCTGATACGCAAGGGTTTACGATTAAGGCACACTGATGCCTCAGGGTTGCCGTTCCGCTTAGCGAGTTTTACCCTGAAGCGAGTATCACCCTTCCCCCGCCAACCCCCCCCCCCCCCCTCCCCGAACCCCCCTACCCCGTAACCCGGGATTCCCAAATGCCAACTGTCGAAATTGAAAATTTTGCGGAGAAACCCGGTATTCACAAAACCCGTTTTCCGCTTCAACCAACTTGAACGCGTCTGCAGCAAAACTCTCTGCCATCCCATAGTAGAGAAAGCAATCCCCTCCATTCTTCCAGGTTGACTTAGCCTGGAGCCATTTCACCAGATCCTGCAAGCAACAAGCTCCAAGCATCACAGCAGCCAGACATAGAGCTAAGAACGGCATAGTTGATATCAGAGAGGCTCCAGCCTCGGCGGATTATTGGAACAAGCTAGTCACAATGAAGACTCAAGTGTTGATCACCATACTGCTGTGCTTAGCGTTTTCCGCCCCTGAGACCGCTCGATTCTAGTCTCTTCTGGTCAAGGACTAGTTTTCCGCCTAAGAGGTTTAGCTAGGATGTTCATCAGAATATCCGTCGACAATAGTAGTTTTTCCTAGTAGTACGAAATCTCACCTTCTCCAGCAGCTTTCGATCTCGTCATGTTACGGTTACAGGATCTGGGATTTTCGTAGTTCACCTCACAGATCTGTCTTGCGTAGCTGTCTGAACTTGCAACCTCTCTTCACTCCCGAGCACCTTTTAAACGCTTGCGTCACACTTGTGTCCTTACCTTCTTGTCATTCCATCCGTTTCCTTTCCCTCGAGCAGAAATACGCCGTGCGCAACTCCGTCCGCAGCGGCAGCGCGCACCGACTGAGGTGGCGCAAGCTGACAGAGCTTCCCACTTGCGTCAACCAAACACTCTGCGGATCGTAAGTGTATCGCTTCTCCCTGCAAAATTTATGCACGCATGTCCCGCTTCCCATTTGCCTCACGCGTTCCCCCTTGTGAGTCTTCTATCCGGCCCTCGGCTCCCTTCTGCCGTTCTTCTTGCTCTGTTGTGTCATCCTGCCCTAACTCCGCTGTGCCTTGCACGCTGTTTCTTATGTGTTCTTTTTGTGTCTTCTCGTGTGAATTCTCCTCAGACTGTGAAATCAGTTGCGCAGGCGACCCCAGTGGAAAGAAAGGGGAAAGAAAAAGTGCCTGAGCCAGAAGAAAGAGACCACGAGCAACACCCGTTTGGCATGTTTGATGATGATGACTAAGATTGTTCTTGTATGCTCTGTTAATAACAATTTCATCAGGGTTTGAAAAAATTGTACACTGATGCCCCAGGGTAGAATTTTCAAAACAAGCAGAAACCCTGATGGAAAAGTTTTTTCACAAGGGGTCACACTGATAATCAGGGTTTTGAACACGTGCAACACTGATCGTAAGGGTTGCAAAAAACCAAAAATTAGCCCTGGTACGGTACCGTTGTATCCCATATGACACACATCACTAGGACAAAACATTGGACACACCCCCATAGCCTAAGTGAGGGATGCCAAGCAAAACCAACAACGTACGGTCACAAGACGAGTCACAAAGTGTTGGAAACAAGTAATTTAAACGCTTCTGTCGCATCGAAGTATCGACACGAAACGGAGCTGACTACAGCGAAGAAACACTCGAGTCAACCAAAGCAACCGCTGGAGGTTATGCGAATGTCAAAGGTCACTGACCCTTGACCTGACGAAAACTACAGTGCGACAGCAATGACACATAACTGACTCGTTACTGAGCAGTTACCCGAGTCGGCACTGTATCGAACCGCAACAACAAAAACAGTTGAAAGTACAAACTTTTGATATTCCTTTGTAATCATTTAAAAGGCTTGTATTTTCCTGCTATTAATCAACTTATCTTGTTCTCACATACCGTAATACCCCGGATAGTAGCGCATATGCGCTTATATATATATATATTTTAGGGGGGGCGCTTGTAATTGAGTAACGGCCAAAAGCGCCGGCGCTTTTATAAAGGCAAAAATGTATTTCACTGTAAATGATATCATTCTGAAGCCGTGAATCAGGCGAATACAACACTGTACCATGCACGCGGGGTCGTGCATGGAATGACGTCGAAACTTGCCGCGGTTCGATTTCCCACCGCACAAAACCCGTCCCGGTGCAACGCACCTGCCAGCGCTAATGCAAAACCTGCCGTGCGGCCCAATCAGGTTGGCATGCGCTGCCAGGCAGGAGCATCTCGGCAGTGTTGAGATAATATCGACACTTAAGCACTTCAAGAAAATTCGTGTAGTACAGTAAAATACCGATAGGCTGACGTCAGCAAAGCGCTACGCACCCTAGGATGACGTCAGCACGTAGCTATAGGCCTCGCGAAAAGTTACGTACCGTTTCAGAACAAGAATAGCACAGTACAGTAGGCGAACATGTACTTTACTCTAGCTATATACTCTGTATGCTTGTCATTTTATAATATATCTGATTTCAGAGACATTGATCCTGAAACATATCACAACATGGGCTTTTATTAAGTCCAGACAAAGCCTTCATAACTGGCTTTAACTCCTAAAAGACTTCCGCTACGACAGGAAGCTACCATCCTAAGTAGTACGATCCTTTTCAATCACTTCAAATTCTAACATGGTATTGCGAGCGTCTTAGGATACTACAAGCTTCCAACTACATACTCTGCAACTATGTCTGGATCTCCACGGTCCAACAACGGCTCTTCTGTTACGAGCCCATCACGCCCAACAGCGTCTCCAGCTGCTGACAATTCTAATCTGCAGCAGCAACAACAACAACAACAACAACAACAACAACAACAACAACAACAACAACAACAACAACAACAACAACAACAACAACAACAACAACAACAACAACAACAACAACAACAACAACAACAACAACAACAACAACAACAACAATATCAGCAACAACCGATGTACGGCATGCCACTGAGCAATCAGTCCGTACACACAACTGCAGCAGCGGCATCATCGACAGCAGCCGCAGCAAGAGCAGCGTCAACAGCCACAACAGCTGCAGCTGCAGTCACTGATTCTTTTAGTCAACCAGGACAACAGTCCAGTTTCGTACCGACTGGACCTTATCAATATCAAGGTGCTTACCAGCCAACAAATCTTCAACAACGTGTCAATGCTGCCGTCTTGTCACTTAACCAAATGTTTCCAACTCCTATGAGCATTGATGGCTCCAGTTATCAGCATGGACAGATACCACAAGGAAGTGACGGGTCGAATAACTCCTTCTCTTTCGTTCCTGCTGGACAAGGACAACAAGCACCACAAGGGTCACAGATGCCATCACTTTATCAGCTACAATCAGCTGACGGTACCGGAAATTATCTTCCCGCTTCTGTAAACCCAAAAAAAATTAAAACGACAGTGCCTTTTAACGGTCAAGACTTCTGTACCTGGAGCTTTGAATTTGAGCTTCTTGTTCAGACCGCGGGGTTCTGGCGGCTGTTCGACGGCACAGCACCCTTTCCATCTCACGGGTCACCACTTCAACAGACCACTTTTTGATCGGCGTCGCTGACTGCATACACAGTTCTCGTTCGTAATCTGACACCGACTGAACAGCTCGGAATTCGTCCTTTTCGTACCAGTGCCGCTCCCGCTGAAGCAGCTTGGTTGTACCTGCAAGGGGTTCACATGGCAAAGGACACTGTCAACCAGAGTAAATTTTTTTAACGCAGCTGTCAAATATACAGATGATAAACGGCGAGAAGGTGACGCAGTATATCAACCGCGCTCGAAATCTGCGCGATCAACTTCAGAAGTGTGGAGGATACTTCCCCGACGCTATGTTTCACACGGTGCTACTCGCGGGTCTTGGACCAGAATGGCGACAGTGTCGCTCTATTCTTCGGATGCAAGGACAATTGTCCGAGGGGGCACTCTGTGCCGCTCTCATAGCCGAGCAGCAGGATATGGACCTGCACAATGCTCGAGGAGGGAAAAAGGTGGTAAACAACACAGTCAGTTTTTATTCTAATCCACGTCACAAACCCGTTTGTTCCTTTTGTCGCAAAGCAGGACACACCTTTGATACCTGCTGGTCGAAAGATAAACCATCTTGGAAGCGGACTACGTCGAAACATAACAAAGATTCTTCAGGTGAAGCTGAGAAGCAGGAAGCTGAGAAGCCGGAAGCTGCGAAGCAGAATACTGCGAAGCCGAACTCTGCGAAGCCGTCTACTACACCTGCCAAGACACAAGCAAAAGAGGTTATTAATTGCATGACATCAGTTTCTACCTGTCAGAATATCATGTTTCTCTAGTCTGCAGTGGGGTACTCAATAGTGAGTACAACCCTGTTAGGGTTTCCTATATGTACCCAATTGCTTTCTAGTGCAATCATCCTTTCTCATTCAATTCTTTCGTCAATCCTTCTCACACTACCGTCTACGATCCTGACGCTGAAGAACGTATTCACAGTAACTTCAACGATGAACTCAATACGCCCATACCACCCGAGGTCTACGCCAACCTTGCACATACCTTGGAAGGTCCCAACACTTGGTATCTCGACAGTTGTTGCGGCCAGCATATGTGTTCATCAGAAAATCGCTTCGTCATCAATCAGCGTCGTCTTCAGAATCCGTGCGTTGTAACCGTCGCCAACAATCAACGTCTTACAGCACACTGGATGGGTAACATCATTCTTGATTCTGTTGAAGAAGACTTCAGTCTTCATCTTAACGATGTACTCCTTGTTCCTCGACTTGGCTTCAATCTGATGTCATCTGCACAGCTCATGAGGAATGGCATTACTCTTCTTGGTGAACCGGGCAAGTATACTTTAAAGTATGGAGACAGGAAACTCGGCACGGCAATTGAACAGAACGAAGTATTCGTTCTCAACTTCGTACCTGAACGCACCTCTGCCGACTCCGAGAATATTCTCTCTCTTGGCCCATGGGAACATCGTGATGACATCGATTACACCGATGATACCGTTCCTCGTGACGGAGTTGTACCCACGTCTTCAACCACGGCTGCCGCTGTCATGCTGACCTTCGACAATCAAGGTTTGAACGACGTCCAGAACTCCCGAGATTATCTTGCTCACGTTGGTGGTTGGGGAGATACGACGAATATGCCCACGGATGAAGGCACTTGGGGGGCACAGGAACCTGACGACACCATTTGGGGAGAAACACCTGCTGATCGTGATCAACGTCTTCTCACTGCAGCAGAGCAGCGTGTTGCTGACATGGAAGTTCTCGACTCCGGACGACTTGTCGGTGCTGAACCTAAACCTGCAGCATCATATCAAGAGAGCGGGGAGTTAGTTCTTTCTCCTGGCGAATACGTCGACGTTGACATAAAAATTCCACCACCTAATCTCAACAGGTTTATCTCACCTGTCACAGATCAAGTTCGCGCTGACGGTCATCGGCTGTTGTTATCTTTCTTCGCTAACGCCGAATACTATCTGCGCGCACAGGGACACAAAGCAACTGCAGACACCTGGCATAAGCATCTTGGTCATCCGTCACAGTCTACGCTCAACAACACAATCAAAGCAGCTGTTCTCGACAAGAATTCTCTACTCTTACCTGGCGGCCTCGAAATGAAACCGGTTAATCGTCCATCACCCTGCTTGATCTGCCCAGCAGCAAATCTACCGCACGAACCGTACCCGACTCATTTTCCTGGCGCTGCGGATTATCGATTGATGGAAAAAGTTTACAGTGATATTCTAAGCTTAACTGCGGAGGGTTTCAACGGCGAGAAATACGTTATCACGTTCACTGAAGCTTCTACTCGATACGTCTGGACTGGTAACATGACTAACCGTTTTCTTGCCTTCACAGCGTTTCAGACATGGCTGCCTCTCGCAGAACACGAGTCCGACACAAAACTCAAAACCTTCCAGTGTGACGGAGCTGGG